GCATGCTTCATTTCAAGGGTGCTGCTGCTGTCTGTTACAACTAGTTGTTATCAAAAAGAACTTATTGCCAAAGCATGTTAAAATAGGCTGGTATTAAGGACAATATTCACTGCCTATTAAACATAAAAGAACTGACTTCACTATTCATGAAGTGCTGTAAGACTTTAAGAACTTGTAGAGCCAAAGCCAGAAATCCATGTTGTTCACATATATAATCCTTTACCTTTCACAAAATCGTAAATTATTGCAGGACAAATCACATATGTTTTTTCTCCATTCTACAGAAAAACAAAATGGCTCTACTCTTAGTTACGCTCTCAATAATCACTCAGAATTCTGAAAACTCCTATTGCCACTACTTATATACATTGCCCACGCTCCTCAGTGGGAGTCATGTCACTCCTCGGTCAGGGCTTTGGGGAGCATTGGTGCTCACTGTGCAGATCCCTGCGTGTCATTTCAGGGTTCAGTGACATTCAGAGATGTGGCCATAGACTTCTCCCAGGAGGAGTGGGAGTGGCTGCAGCCTGCTCAGAGAGACTTGTACAGACATGTCATGCTGGAGAACTACGACCACCTGGTCTCACTGGGTACGTGTTCCTCCTCCTCTCCCTTCAGTTAGAATTTGACCTTTGTGGCTCTTGTGAATATTGATTAGCTGTCTGAATATTCCCAAGGGAGGTAGTTTCTTTTTTTCTTTATGAGGGTATTTTTAAAAACTTTACTTTTATTGCTAACAGTATTATAAATGTCCCCAATTTACCACCCTCTGCTCACCTCTCCCCAACCCCCACTTCCCCTTCCCTCTGGTCATGAGAAACACTGTTGTCTGTGTCTGTGGGTTTTTATTTGTTTTTAAGATGGGGATTGTAAACTCCATCTAATTTTTAAACACCTTTCATACTTACATCTGGCATTTCTTTGAATGGTCCCTTTCTTCTGAGGATTGAAGGACTGATTTTGAATTTACTTCCTTTTCTGCAAGCAGGTCTTAACATTTCTAAGCCAGATGTGGTTTCCTTATTGGAGCAAGGGAAAGAGCCCTGGCTGGGGAAAGATGTCAGAACAGATTTCTTTTCAGGTGAGTGAGTGATTGTCCCCTCTGCTGTGCACTTCCTGCTGTGTCTGTCTGTGCAGCCAAGCAGCAAAGAGATAGAGAAGAAAAAACTGGGTATTACTTTTTTTTTTTTTTAAATCCTCACCTGAGGATATTTTTGCATTTATCTTCAGATAAAGATGGGGGAAGAGAGAGAGAAACATCGATGTGAGAGAGACACATCCACTGGTTGCCTCCCGCATGACCCCACTCCCGGGGGCTGGGAACAAACTGCAACCAAGGTATGCGCCCTTAGCGGGAACCGAACCTGGGCCTCTCTGGTCCACGGGCCGACGCTCCAACCGCTGAGCCCAACTGGCCAGGGCAAAAAATGGGTATTACCTTTAAATGGGTATTACATTTAGGTCTGTGATCCATTTTAAGTTAAATTTTATGAAGAGTGTATAAGGTTTGTGTTTAGAATCATTTTTGTGCATGTGGATGTATAGTTGTTTCAGCATTATTGATCGAAGGAATTATCTTTGCTCTTTTGAGTTGTCTTTGCGCCTTTGTAAAAGAACAGCTGAATATAATTATGCAGGTCTATTTCTGAGTTTTCTTCTTTGTTCCATGGATCTATTTGTCTATTCTTTCATCAGTACTACACTGTGTTGATTGTTGTAGCTTTATAATAAGTCTTTTTTTTTTTAACTGCTGAGCCACACCAGCTGGGCTATATAATAAGTCTTGAAGTCAGGTAGTGTCAGTCCTCTGATTTTGTTCTTCTTCATCAATATAGTCATTTGCTTCTCCATATAAACTTAGAATCAGTTTGTGGAGATAAATAAAATAATTTTTATTTTGATTTCATTAAATGTATAGATCAAGTTGGGAAGAACTGACATCTGGCAATACTGAATCTTCCTATTTATAAACATAGACTGTCTCTCCATTTGGTTCTTCCTTGAGACCTTTCATCAGAGTTGTAGTTTTCTTATGTAAGTTTTTTTTTAAAATATGTTTTTATTGATATTTTAGAGAGAGAGGAAGGAAGAGATAGAGACATCAATGTGAGAAACATCAATTGGCTGCCTCCTGCACGCCCCCTACTGGCGATTGAGTGCACAACCCAGGCAAGTGCCCTGACGACGACGAATCGAACTGGGACCTCTCAGTCCATGGGATGACGATCCACTGAGCCACACCAGCCAGGCTCCTCATATAAATCTTGTACATGTGTTTGTAGGTTTACATCTAAGTATTTCATTTTGGGGAGGTGCTAATTATAAATGGTAATGTCTTTTTTATTTCAATTTCCATTTATTTGTTTTTTGCTACTATATAGAAAAGTACTGACTTTTGTACACTAACTTTGTATTGTGCAATCTTGCTATAATCACCAATTAGTGATTTTGGAGAGAGAGAGAAACATTGATAAGAGAGAAATCAATTGACCACCTCCTGCATGCCCCCCATTGTGGATTAGGCCCACAACCTGGGTATGTGCCCTGACCGGGAATGGAACTGGCTACCTCTTGGTGCGTGGGTTCTCTGAGCTTTCTGGATCTGTGGTTTGGTGTCTAACATTAATTTGGGGAGAGTCTCAGTCATTGTTCCAGATACTGCTTCTGTTTCTTTCTCTCCTCTCTTGATATTCCCATTTCATGTATGTTACACCCTTTGCAGTTATCCCACAGTTCTTGGTTTTCTGTTTTTTGTTTGTTTGTTTTCAATATAGTTTTAGAAGTTTTCATTGAAATATTATCTTCTAGCACAGAGATTCTTTTCTCAGCCAAATTCAGACTAATAGGTCCATCAAAGGCATTTTTAATTTCTCTTACAGTTTTTGTTCTCTAGCGTTTTTTTATTATTTTGTTTTTATTAAGACATTATTTTTTAGAGCAGTTTTAGGTTCACAGCAATTTTGAACCGTAGAGATTTCCTGTATACTGTCATCCCCACACGTGTAGATTTCCTGTATACTGTCATCCCCACACATGTAGATTTCCTGTATACTGTCATCCCCACACATGTAGATTTCCTGTATACTGTCATCCCCACACATGTAGATTTCCTGTATACTGTCATCCCCACACGTGTAGATTTCCTGTATACTGTCATCCCCACACGTGTAGATTTCCTGTATACTGTCATCCCCACACGTGTAGATTTCCTGTATACTGTCATCCCCACACGTGTAGATTTCCTGTATACTGTCATCCCCACACGTGTAGATTTCCTGTATACTGTCATCCCCACACGTGTAGATTTCCTGTATACTGTTATCCCCATTGTCGACATTTCCCCACCATAGAGTTACATTTGTTATATTTGATGAACTACATTGACATAGTTATCCAAAGTCTACAGTTCACATTAGCATTTCTTTTTCACTCTTATAATTTTTATCTCTCTGCTTGCTTTTGTCATCTATTTTTGCACATTGTCAACTTTTTCCACTAAAGCCCTTAGCATATTAAATATAGCTATTTAAAATTTTGATCTGATAATTCTAACATGCCTGGTATACTATATATAAGTCTGGTTCTGATGCTTGGTCAGTCTCTTTACTGTATTTTTTTTCCTTTAGTACGTCTTGTAAAATTTTTTTTTTTTTTTAGAAAGGTGGACAGGATGTACTGGGGAAAAGGAACTGTGGTATATAGGCCTTAAAAATGTAGTGGGCCCTGGCTGGTCTGGCTCACGGTTAGAGCGTTGGACCAGAGAGTCCCGGGTTCGGTTCCCGCTAAGGGCACATACCTTGGTTGCAGTTTGTTCCTGGCCCCAGTTGGGGTCATGTGGGTGGCAACCACTTGATGTGTCTCTCTAGCATCGATGTTTCTCTCTCTCTTCCCCCCTTTTTCCCTCTCGCTCTATCTGAAGATAAATGCAAAAATGTCCTCAGGTGAGAATTTTAAAAAAAAGAAAAATGTAGTGGTAAAGTACAGTGTGAGGGGACATTCCTGTAGTTCTGTGATTAGCTCTGTGTTTTGGTGAGCCCGTGCCCTGAACTGTGAACCTCACCAGTGTGTCTCAGTTTCCCCCCGACTTAGGTGGGACAGGATGGCTTGAGTGGGCTGGGGTTGAGGTATGTTAGCGTCTGGTAGAATAGTTTCTCGAGTTCAGGGCCTTTCAGTGAGAATAGAATACTCTGGCGTGTTTCTAAGGGTTTCTTTTCTCCTCTCCCTGCTGGAAGCATGAGACAGTATCTCTGATATTCACTACAAAGACTTGCTAGAACCACTAGATGTAAAAGTCAGGAAAGTGTGGGGGCCTCACTATGGCTGGTTCCCCCTGGGAGTTTTTGACTTAAGATTTATCAGTACTGAGCCTCCAGCTATTCATTTTGGTTTTCCTACCCCAGCACTCTGGGTCTCAAAGAGTTTCTGCTCCGGTGAATTGTGATTCTTTGTATCCTCCTGCTTCTCCAATTTTGGGACAGTGGTTTACCCTGTGACCACCCTTCTGTGAGGGGTCTAAGAAGAGCTGTTGATGTTTCAGTTCAGCTTTTCAGTTGTCAGCACAGTGTGGCAGCTTCTGAGCTCCTTGTGTGCAGTACCAGGAAACAGAAATATGCCTATGATGATTTAAAGGTCTTGCTTTTCAAAATCTTTTTTTCTTGTATTTATACTATAATGAGCACATACTGGTGATAGACAATATTTGTTTTTTTCCTCCCCATTTTAATTCTCTCAATAAAAAAGGAAGAATTGCTTATTTTTTACTTACTATAGAAAATAAGAAACATGGGTTTGTTTTTTTCAGTTTCAGAGTCAAATGGTGAGATCAGAGAGTTTTCTCCCCAAAATGTCATATATGAAGATGACTCATCCCAGTATTTGATAAAGGAAAGGAATCTGATCCAAGGCTCTGAACATGCTGATTTTAAAGGAGACTGGAATTGCAAGGACGTTACTTCGATGCTACAAAGAAATCAGGGATGTATCAGGCAAGTGACGGTTCCTCACCAAGAAGCCCTGTCTCAACATAGTGTCAGTACCGTGGAGAGGCCCTATGGGTGCCATGAATGTGGAAAAACTTTCAGTCGGCGCTTTTCCCTTGTGTTACATCAGAGGACTCACACAGGAGAGAAACCATATGTATGTAAGGAATGTGGCAAAACCTTTAGTCAGATCTCAAACCTTGTGAAACATCAGATGATACACACTGGAAAGAAACCCCATGAGTGTAAGGACTGTAGTAAAACATTCAGTTACCTTTCCTTCCTCATTGAACACCAGAGAACACATACCGGGGAGAAGCCCTACGCATGTCCTGAATGTGGAAAGGCCTTTAGCCGTGCCTCAAACCTCACTCGACATCAGAGAATTCACATAGGAAAGAAACAATACATATGTAGGAAATGTGGGAAAGCCTTTAGCAGTGGCTCCGAACTCATTCGTCATCAGATCACTCACACGGGAGAGAAGCCTTACGAATGCCCTGAGTGTGGGAAGGCTTTCCGCCGCTCCTCACACCTCACTCGGCATCAGAGCATCCACACGGCCAGAACCCCTTATGAGTGTAGCGAGTGTAGGAGAGTCTTCCGCTGCCACTCATTCCTTATTAAACACCAGAGAATTCATGCTGGAGAAAAGCTCTATGAATGTGAGGAATGTGGTAAAGTTTTCACATGGCACGCATCCCTCCTCCAACATATGAAAATCCATACTGGAGAAAAACCCTACGCCTGTGCTGAATGTGACAAAACCTTTAGTCGGAGCTTCTCCCTCATTCTACATCAGATAACTCATACTGGGGAGAAGCCCTATGTGTGTCAGGTATGCAATAAATCCTTCAGCTGGAGCTCAAACCTTGCTAAACATCAGAGGACACATACTCTAGAGAACCCCTATGACTACCACAATTCATTGAATTACCACTCATTCCTTACTGATCACCCGGGAATTCACACTGTTGAGAAAACCTAAGAATGTATGCATTTAAACATATATAGCAGCTAATGCCTTACTTTGACTTCAGAGCCTTGTGTGAGTGTGTTGAAATGTGGAGAGACGTGGTCCATACCTGGAGACAGCCCCAGGAATACGTGGGAAAGCCATTAAAGTTGCTCTTTTGTAATGTCCCTCAGTGTGGAGAGGACTCTATCCGGTAGGATTCCCTTCCTCTACCTTTATAAATTCCTACCAGGAAAGGGATAAAAACCCAATGCCAGTGAAAAAGCTTTTAATTAGAGATTAGCGCTCATCCTGCTGTCAGCTCAAGCATAGCAGAATGCTTAGGTCAGGGTGCACTTTTTCCTGGACATCAGAAAATTCAGAATGAAACAAAGTCATACATAAAAACAGTGACTCGGGAATACCTTCCTGTATCATGCAATCTTTTTTTTTCTTTTTTTTTATCCTCACCCAAGGACATTTTTTCCATTTTTTGTTCAGATAGAGTGGGAGGGAGAGCGAGGATGAGAGAGAGAGAGACATCGATGTGAAAGGGACACATCGAGTGGTTGCCACCTGCACCACCCAACCAGGGCCGGGGACAAACTGCAGCTGAGGTACAGTTTGTGGAAAAACCTTTAGTCAGATCTCAAACCTTGTGAAACATCAGATGATACACACTGGAAAGAAACCCCATGAGTGTAAGGACTGTAGCGGGAACCGAACCCGGGTCTCCCTGCACCGCAGGCCAATGCTCTAACCGCTGAGCCAAACTGGCCAGGGCTGTACCATACAATTGTTACCAAATTTTAAAATACCCTTTTAAGAAGAAAAAGCAACCCTAAATGAACTAAATATAGGTTGACTTTCTGCAGTATTTTAACCCTGTAGAATTACACTGGAGAAAAAGTACCACTGTAATGGCGGAAAGTCCTAAGAGCTCTCGTAAGTCACACTGGAGGGAATCCGTGTGGGAAACTTTTTTTTTTTTTTTTTTAAAGCAAATTCAGAAAAGAGCTATAAGTAAATCTTTTGATTTTTATTTAATCTGGTACTCGCTGAGTGTTTTTCCAACAGCATATGAGATTCTGAAAATGCAACTATCACAACATTGACAGCAAGAGTAGTGTGCTTTTGTGAAAACATTATACAAATATAATTATAGAAACATTTTTAGTTGTCTTATGGTTTTAACTGAGATAGTAGTTGGATTTAAGCTTACGCTAATTCATGTTTATCCTTGAATCTGACTATACATGTCTTAGTCAAAAATAAATGTAAATAAGGTATATTACAAGAAAATGCCAAGGTAGTTTTCCTCTTCTGTTGCATTTACAGTGAGAACATTTATTTTGTAAGCTCATACTTGTCAAAATAAATCATATTATGTTCACTTTCCATGTACACCTTGCCCATTTTTTAATGTCCCAGGTAAAGTTTTCTCTTATCTTTGAAGCAACTGACTGCCTCTTCTGACAACTCTCCTCAATGCAGTGTGTGCCGTATGGAGTTTACTACTTGAAGAAGTGCCTCATTTATTTTTTTCATCTGTATGTAAATCTTTCACAAAATGAGAGCCTAGCGGTTTCTTTCCCATTCAGAGTGATAGCAGACCACAGAGCTGCTGCCAGGCCGTTACTTTTCTAGAACATTAGCCAACGCCTCAAACTCCCCCAGAACAATTCCGTTGTGCGGATCCTTTTCCCCACAGGGTGGCAAGGCTCGTTACTTCCCCAGGAGCACGTGTGTGGGTTCTCTGGTGGCCAAGAATCTATTTGTCATTTCAGAGGTTTGTAACATTCCGGGATATGGCTGCAGACTTTTTTTCAGGAGTGGGGCTGACTAGACCCCATCCAAAAGAATTTTATGGGAATGTAGTGTTGGAGAACCATGGGAACCTTGTCTGAGGAGGTTACGATTCCTCCAAATTCAGAGTCTGAATTTAGATATCTTTGCTATTTCTATAGGGAATATTAGGGTGTGGACTAAATTGCCAGACTGATGAGTAGGAGTGTGAAGTGGGTACGTTTTCCTCTTGCTCTTTTTCTTGTAATAGCTGTCCCTTTACTAAGAGATTGGGTCTGTAGCTGAGAAAAACTATAATATTTTGAAGTATCTATTTTCTCTCTTGTAAGCAGGAGTTTCTATTTCTAAACCAAATGTGACCTCCTTATTGGAGCAAGGGAAAGAGTGATGGAGAAAAAAATGACAAGAGGCCTATGATCAGGTAAGTGAAGGGCAATCAGGCAAGAAGTACCTTTACAAGTAGTTCAGCTCACAGATATATTATGTGAATCATTTTGTCAAAAAAAACACAACTTTTTCCTCCCTTCACACCACAGCATTCTCAACTCATTCAAAAAGTCCTCTAATTTGTGGCACGATATTTCAGAAAGTAAGAACTATTATTTTTACTTAAACTAAAATACAGATAATTCTTAGATTATACAGTAAAAGAGATGTCAAAACCACCTTGCCACTGAAAAAATAAAATGGATAGATTGTGGATGATTTTGCTTATACAGCACACTTTATTTGTCATTGCAAGAAGGTGCTGGCCAGGATCATAGTTGCTTTCTTTTATTCGATTGTAGTACATACATCATCTTTCCATCATTTAACACATCGTTTGTTATAAGCTGTGATGCTTTTCAGAGGCAGAAAACAATAAAATTTGCCTGTTTTTTCAAGATGAAATTGTGTAATAGCCAGAAACATTAAGATATAAAAACAAACAACAGGAAAAGGGTGTATGATCTTTCACTTTAAATTACTTGTATAATATTTCAGTTCGAATTTATATTGTACTGTTGGGACAGAGAAACAATGGTGCTCTATAGTGTGACCATGTCAATACATGTGAATGGGTAAACATCTAGTTTGAACATTTTGATCTATGTAGTGGAAGAAGTTTGTATTTCAGACATACAATTTTCTTAGGTTTGCATATTAAGATGTGTGAAATTTATGTGAAAAATAATCAGGAATACAACCATTATGGCTCTGATTTACAGTATTTTCTTACTGTGTTGTCATGGTTATTCAATTTTCCACACATTATAAAACTATCACACTCCTAATGAAAATGTCTATCCTTTTTTTTTTAATTCCTCACCCAAGGATATTTTTGTATTTATCTTCAGATAGAGTGGGAAGGAGGGAGGGAGGGAGGGAAAGAGAGAGGGAGAGACAGAGACATAGAGACATCGACATGAGAGGGACACATCGACTCGTTGCCTCCTGCACGACTGACCAGGGCCAGGGACAAACTATAACTGAGGTACATGCCCTTGACCGGAATGGAACCTGCGACTCTTTGGTCTGCGGGCTGACGCTCTAACTGTTGAGCCAAATCTGCCAGGGCGAAAATGTCTATCCTTTTTTAAAAAATACTTTCCCTCCTTTTTTGACGAGAGAGAGAGAGAGAGGAAGGGAGAGGGAGAAATAGAAACATTGAAGAGAGTCTGGCCGGTGTGGCTCAGTGGTTGAGCATTGACCCAGGTTGTGGGCCAGGTTGTAGGAGGTGGCCAATCGATATTCTCTCTCATTGATGTTTCTATCTCTCTCTCCCTTTCACTTCCTCTCTAAAATCAATAATGGAAAAAGAATTTTAAAAAACCACAACCAAGTACACCCTTGGCCAGAATTGAACTGATGACTCTGATCCAAAGGCTGATGCTCTAACTGCTGAGCCAAACTGGCCAGGGCTGGGGAACCAGGATCTTTATTCATCTGTAGGCCAAGGTTTTTATTCTCATAGTTACAAGATGTCTCCTTCAGGTCTAGGAATGGAAAATTCTAAGGGAAAAGAATGGGAAAGGCAGAAAGGTAAAGAATAAAAGGTCTGTTGGTAGTGAAATAGTCTATTATTGATTAATCAGGAATGAGGGATATGGCTGCACTTGGCTGCAAGGAGACAGGAAAATTTTGTAGCTGGATGTATTGGTATTATCAGCCAGAGGAGGGTCATCAGGAGGGTAGGATGAGCTTGTTTAATTGGCTACAGCAATATCTGCCACAGCAACTCTCAATAAAGTACTATAGTCCAGATACTCTAAACATAATGCAGTTCACTTAGAAATCAATTATAACAGAAAATGACCTCACGCATTACAGATACATAATTCTAAATAGCTGTGGGTCAAAAAGTCATGTACAGCATTTAGATGTAAAACAACAAACACAGACCACTATGTGTTACATAGCTAAAGGAGTGGTTAGAGGACTATATGTAGCCTTAAATGCTTATTTTAGAGAAGACTGATATAATGAACTTGCAGTCCACCTTAAGACAATGAAAAAGGCAACCTCACATTCAAAACACTTACAAGGATTCTCTCTCAGTATGGATTCTCTTGTGTATAACAAGTGAAGAACTCTGACTGAAGGCTTTTCCACATTGAATACATTCGTAGGGTTTCTCTCCAGTGTGAGTTCTCACATGTCTCCTAAGGGAAGAGGAAACACTGAAGGATTTCCTACATTCCTTACATTCATAGGGTTTCTCTCCAGTGTGAGTTCTCACATGCATTCTAAGGGACGAAAGACCACTAAAACCTTTCCCACAATCAGTGCATTCGTAAAGATTTTCTCCAGTGTGTATTTTCTTGTGAACTTTGAGGTGAGAGCTTGTGTTGAAGGCTTTCCCACAGTCGCTGCAGTCATAGAGTTTCTCCCCAGTGTGTATTCTCTTGTGCACTATAAGGTAAGAACTTGTTCCAAAAGACTTTCCACAATGATTACACTCATAAGGTTTCTCTCCAGTGTGAGTTCTCACGTGGGCCTTAAGAGATGTTTTCTGACTGAAAGCTTTCCCACATTCATGACATTCATAGGGTTTCTCACCTGTATGAGTTCTTACATGTCTCCTTAGGGTTGAGGAATCATTGAAGACTTTCCCGCATTCTTTACATTCATATTGCTTCTCGCCCATGTGACTTCTCTTGTGCAAAATAAGATTAGAAATCCTTCTGAAGGCTTTCCCACACTGATTACATTCATAATGTTTCTCTCCAGTAGGAGACTGCTCCTGTTGCTTAAGGGATGAATGATGACAAAAAGTTTTATTACATTCATAGGAATTTCCCACTAAATGGAAATCGTTAGGTAAAGGAAACATGCTATGTTTGAAATGTTTACCATGTTTGGAGCGTGTGTGCTCTTTTTGTGCTGTTTTAATTATTTCAAGATGCCACAGAGCTCTGTCACAGTGATGACTTTCACAGAGTCTCTCACTTACAGAGTTTTTCTCATAATTGCCTAGAATTGAATTATGCTTCAAACAACACTCAATATTTAAGTAACAGTTATGGCAATGTTTGGTTTTGGGAACTGTCTTTGACAAAATAAGTTCTGATTTAAGGTTAGAGTTTTCCTCCAATTCATGATAGTCACAGGAGCTCTCCTGATGTGCTGTTTTCTTTTGGGTAAATATCATTTGCTTCAAATTACCCTCTTGGATATTGTGCTGTTTTGTGATCTTCTGGAATTCCCAGTCTTCTCTTAATGTCGAAGACCAACCATTCATTGTGGGTCTTACCATTGTACCATTGGATATGTTTTCCCAAAAAAGATTCTGCTTAGGAGCTGCTTCTGTGTTTTTAATTTGAATCTTCCAATCTAGATAGGTGCCTTTAGGAATTCTCGTTTTCATTGTTCTTCTCTCTTCTGGACCCAATTGGCAGATCACTGAAGGCCTGCATAATTGACATGCCACTGAGGTGAGATTTATGTAGTTTTCCAGCATCACATCTCTGTACATACTTCTCTGAGCAGAGTCCAGCAGCATCCACTCCTCTTGTGTGAACTCCACAGCCACATCTTCCAAGGTCACTAGTCCCTGTAACCAGGTGGCTGGAAATCCAGCTACCATCCTTTCCTCCCCGGTATTTCTCACACAGACACAGGCAGAGTCCTGTGCAGTCAGAGCCCATATGGGGGACAGGTCAACAGCTGCCATCTTTAGAATCTGAAAGCAACACCTGCCTGCACAATAGGGTAGAGAGATCAGCGTATTTCTTTTCTTGTTTCTCTGATTCAATCAGAGCAGGCATGTATTTCACAGCATGTTCCCTGTTGGGGAAGAGGCAGGTTCAGTTAAAAGAAGGTGGAGCCCTGGCCGGTTTGGCTCAGCAGTTAGAGCATCGGCCTGCGGTCCAGAGAGACCCAGGTTCGGTTCCTGCTAAGGGCACGGACCTCGGTTGCAGTTTGTCCCCGGCCCTGGTTGGGTCGTGTGGGTGGCGACCACTCGATGTGTCCCTTTCACGTCGATGTTTCTCTCTCTCTCCCTCCCACTCTATCTGAACAAAATATCGAAAAATGTCCTTGGGTGAGGATAATAAAAAATAAAAGAAGGTGGAAACAGGGCCCCGTTGGAGGCAAGGTTAAAAAAAAAAAAGTGGACCCTTCTCCCTACTTCCCAGCAAGGTCTGACCAGCTTCAATCTTCACTGCAACATAGTCATCCTTGGCCACCTTCCAGAACTGTCATCTTGGTTCTTTATACTGGCGTCTCCTGCAGACTACTCCTCAGCCCTGGGTGGAAGGAGCATGCATTATTAAAAAGAAAGTAAAGCTAAAGAGAACCAGTCAAAAAAGGCTTCACTGTTTAATTAAATTTCATGCATATTTTGGTACTTTTTTTTTTCCCCAATGGCAACATAATTTTCCTGCTTAAAACAACTGTTTTAGGTAAATTTATTTATTCTACATATAACTTGGTATTTACCAAAGTAACCTCACACATGCTTAATAGGACTGACGATAGGGCTGCTACCTTACTTAGTAATTAATGGAGTTACTAAAGATAGATAATGTGACTTTGAAACAAACATTCATTTGATTACCTCCATTTACTCTCTCTCCACCCAAAGTCCATATTTCCTTATATTAGTCTATGTAAAGCTTGAGAGGGATCCACAAAGAAGCATGGACTATGTTCCAAGCTTTGGGAGTGAGGCCTTAACAGTATTAGATGGTATAGAACTTTCCTGAATAATTTTTATAATAGCTTTAATATTAAAAAAACAAACAACATAGTGTGAATACAAAAGATAGTTGGAGACTTTGAGGATCATAGTATTCATGTGATTATTATGCTAATATTTCTACAGATCTCGCTTTTTGAAGATTAGATGGTAACCTTCAAATGCAAGCTTTCTATCAGTGTTAGACTTAAACAGAGGTCAGTTTTAGATTACAGAACTGTCATTTTAATTTAGATAGGTAGGTTCTATGTCCCTAAACTAGAAACATACAGCTCTGTTACTTTTGGGTATATTATGTAGAAATAGATTTGTCTGAAAGTAACAGGATCATAATCCTGGAAAAAAGATGTTTCCAGAAAACAGGAGATCTAACAGAGAGATGAGATGATGGAGTGGTTGAGGGTAAAGGGAAGTCCCAGTAGGCCAGTAGGCTGCATGCCTAAAGAAGAACTAACCGACCAGCCCTGGCCTGTGTGGCTCAGTTGGTTGAGCATCTTCTCATGCACCAAAAGGTCTCCAATTTTATTCTCAGTCAAGGCACATGCAAGGGTTGCAGGTTCAGACTGTGGTCAGGTGCATATGGGTGGCAACGGATCAATGTTTTTCACATAGATGTTTCTCTCTAAAGTCAAGAAATACACACACACACACACACACGTATATCTAGAATAACTGATCAGCCTTGGCCCAGTGGCTCAGTTGATTGGAGGATCATCCCATACAACAAAAAGGTTGTGGGTTCAATTCCCAGTCAGGACACATACCTAGGTTATGGGTTTAATCCCTAGTCTGTGTTTCTCTCTCACAGCCATGTCTGTCTGTCTCTCCCTCTCTCTCCCCCTTTCCATTCCTCTCTCTCTAAAATCAAGAAAAACATATCCGCAGGTGAGGAATAAAAACAACTGATTAGTGAATTTCAACTAGTGTGCCACAAGAATTTTTTTTGTTTGTTTGTTTGTTTTTATCCTCACCCGAGGACATTTTTTCATTTTTTGTTCAGGCAGAGTGGGAGGGAGAGAGAGGAAGGGAGAGAGAGAGAGAAACATCGATGGGAAAGGAACACATCGAGTAGCTGCCACCCGCACAACCGACCAGGGCCAGGGACAAACTGCAACCGAGGTACGCGCCCTTAGCGGGAACCGAACCCGGGTCTCTCAGGACCGCAGGCCGACGCTCTAACCACTGAGCCAAACCGGCCAGGGCCCACAAGAATTTTTAAAACATGCAATACCTGACTATTAATCAGGGCACTGACCTTTTTTAGTTTAGACTGTCAATAAAAAACAAAAAAGCCAACACAATAGCCATCTGATATGAATGAATCAAATTTATACCTATCACTTTGTCAGATTGGTAACTGTTTTGTGTGTGCTGCAGAATTTTAGTAATTAGTTTGTGTGAGATGAAAAAGGTGGACCATCACTGGTCTAGATAGTAGGAAGAAGGAAGGTTTCTGGGGATGTGTGTTCAGAAAGAGAGAAAAATAATAAGATTGTATGACAGGTTTTTACCTTTAAAGGAATTTCAAAGGCATTTTAAATAAGCTGCTGCCACTTAGAAGAAACAGGCCCCCCCTGTTTTTATAATGAGCCTTTTAACATATGAGACTTAATGTAAATACAAATTTTCTCTAAAGCAAATTACTGAGAAAATAATTAAGCAATCAAGTCAAGAATTACAAAAATAGCAACAAAGTAAAATTTTAGAAATGACAGCAAAAATTAGAGAACAGAAAAAATACAAAGATGTAAGACAAACCAAAAGAGAAATCAAAAAAAAATAATCCAAATCTGCTTCTTTGAAAAGATGAATCAAGAAAAAATGACTCAAGTAAATATTAGACTAAAAATACAAAGCTACAATCACAGCAGTGGTTTTTATTTTTTTATTTTTAGGTTTTGTTTGTGTTAATCCTCATACAAGGATTTTTCTTCTATTGATTTTTTTTTGTTTTTTAGAGAGAGTGGGGGGGGGGGAATCTCCACGTGAGAGAGACACATTGATTGGTTGCACCCTGGTGGGGCAGGGATTGAATTTGCAACCTAGGTATGTGCCATACCTTGACCAGGAATCAAACTGAGACCTTTGAAGTGCCTGGGCCAACGCTGTAACTACTGAGAAACACTGTCCAGGGCACAGCAGTGATTTTAAAATATCATTAAAAAGCAGTGTTGTTAAAAGTCACTATAAAAATAACATGAACGTTATGCAAACTTAAAAATTCAGATCAGATGAATAATTTTTTGTAAAAACTTGTGTCCAAAAGTGGCTAAGAACAACAGAACCTAAATCAATCAACTACCATAAATTATTGTGTCATAAGTAAAGCATCTACCCCTAAAGATTTTCAGCCCAAACTTTTAAGGGAAAAACTATTTTAAAGAATAATTTTTAGCTCTGGTCGGTTTGGCTCAGTGGTTAGAGTGTCCGCCTGCGGTCCAGAGAGACCCGGGTTCGTTTCCCACTGAGGGCACGTACCTCAGTGGCAGTTTGTCCCTGGCCCTGGTTGGGTCCTGCGGGTGGCAACCACTTGATGTGTCCCTTTCACGTCGATGTTTCTCTCTCTCCCTCCCACTCTATCTGAACAAAATATGGAAAAATGTCCTCGGGTGAGGATTAAAAAAAATTTTTTTTAAAAAAAAGCTATGCTTCCCAAATTATTGAAACTTATAAAATATTTTCAGGCCAATACAAAGGCTAGAATGTGGAAAGATTAAAGTGGAGTCATAATTCTGAACACTGAAAAAGTCCTAAGTAAAATATTAATACATTAAATATGGCAGTGTGTTAAAGTAGTAATGCTGTATCACACTCAAGCAGGAATACAAGAATAGCTGAACAGAAAAACTGTAACTACAATGTAACAATATAATAAGCACTCATCACTCTATTTTGAAAAATCTGGAAATGACATATTTGTAATTATTTCAGAATTTATCTCTGAACAAAAACCTTTCAAAAATCATAACCAGGATATTATCGAACCTACTAAATTGGCAATAATTCTTTAATATCAAATATTGCGCACACAACTTTAAGTCCCTTTTAAGGTTTTCTTTGGATAAAGTGTATTACTGTGGTGCAACCCATAAATAGATAAAGGGATTAAGACCTTCGGGAAAGCCCCAGGAGAAACAAAGAAGCGTTGCCTGCTCCTTTCAGTTCGAATCAAGTCCGACCCTTAACCCGCCCCAGCCGCCCCTGCAGACGCAGCAGCTTCCCCGGCGGGACCGCCCCCGGCTCACCTGCGCCGCGCCCGGCCCCGCCCCCGGGAAGGTCTTCGCCTAAGAGGCGGTCCTGCACCGCGTCGCCCCCCGCCAGCCCCCGCGCTAAGCATCACGCCCTCTTCAGTCCCCGTGTCCCGGCTGCTTTCTGGGCAGGGCCTTTCCTGCTCACACCAGAACGTGGGTGACTGCTCCCCATCTCCCCTCCCACTCGCCGCGTTTCCTCAAGGTGTGCGAACTCCATCGCGCTCACCTGCTGTCTGGGTGCCTGCCTCTCTGCGTCGGAACTACCGGGCCCCCGCGAGAAGGGCGCCTCGAGGCCGCCCGGAGGACGGCGGGGCTCGCAGCGCTCTCGAGGGTCGGGACTACATTTCCCAGGAGCCCCCGCGCCGCCCTGCGGAGGGATTCTGGGCTTCGCGTCACGGCGCCGTGCTCGGCCTAGGGGTCGCTCCGCGGGACGCTGTGTGCGCCAGGGTCTCGGAGGTGCGCAGGCGGCCGTCGGCCCGGCGTGGGCGGGAGGGGTCCGGGCGCGCGCGCGCGGGAGACCGCCGGGTGGGCCTCAGGCCAGCTGTGCCGCGACGCCCCTGAGGCCGGAGCCGCGGCTGCCGCCGTCGTGACGGGACCGCTGCCCTCTGGTCTCCAGGGCTTCTCGCAGGTACGCGCGCCAGTGCCGGGGGCGTGTCTGCCGGAGTCGGACGCGTGTGGGCCTTGCAGTGAGAGCGCGGCTTCTGCGCCTCTTCGCGTGGCGGACGGCGGTCTCGTCCGCGGAGGGTTCTGCTCGCGGGTTTGCCCCGAGGGTGTGGCTGCCCCTGGACGGCGCTGCGTGCCTGCGGCCGCGGGAGCCGCGCGTCCCTGTGCCCCGGGCCGGGAGGTGCCGGGTGGGCACGGGGAGCCCTGGGTCCTCGCTGGCGCAGGTTTCTTCTCGCCCGCTTCCTCCCCACCCGCGACCGGGACCCGAGGGTGGACATTTCGCGTTCGGCGGTTCTAGAGTCTGCTGAAAGTGTCCTTCCGTCAGGGCCGGACCTGTCTTAGTGGTCACGCTGCGTCTCCCGGAGACACCCCGCGTCGTCGCGGTGGTCTGGAGACGCGTGCCGGGTTCCACTCGAGGACCTGTGGGGGTTGCGCGGACCGCTGATGGCGTGGGTCTGCGTGTAGCGCGTCTGGCGGCGGAGAGGGCTGGACCGACGTTTCTCGGTTCGGTCCAGCAGTATTCACAGCAACGTCGCTCGTCGGTGTTCAGTGCGCGAGGTCACCCGGGCTTGTGCCTTCGCAGCGACGCGTCTCCGGCTCCGCTTCCTGCTCTGCGTGTTCGCACCTGGAGCGGGTTCACCGGTGTGCGGGTTTCCCCCGCGGTTGCTCGCAGACAGCTCCTACGTCACCGCGACTTCATTTCCCCTCTGCGCTCAGTTACCAAGTAGAGATGATGTCGGAGGTCCGGTGGGCCGGAGGCCAGGGCTCGCCCAGAGTAGTGCTCACGCCCTGCACCTTCGCGGCCGCTCTGTTGAAAAGTCGGAAGTCGCCCGCAGTGCTGCCCACGGCCACTCGTTACCCCCTGGGAAGTCGGGGCTTCGTTCCAGGCCGCCCCAGCACTGCACGGACTTTTCTCTAGGGCCTAAGTGTGACCTAATCGACTCGTCTTCTGTTTTACTGAAAGTGTCCTTCTTGAAAAGCCTCCTGAAGGGTGAATTGCACTAATTTTTTTTGCCTTTTCTTGAAAGGTGTTCATTTGTTCTTTCGTTCCTTCTCTCAATACCTGTCGCTCCGGTTCTTGGCATGTGCCAGTCACAGGGCAAGGGTTGGAGATACATAGCCTACGTTAAATGAGAAAATGTATCGGTATTTTACATAAAAATTGTCCCAAAATTCTGATTAGGACAGTACAGTATTTGCAATGAATCAAAGACCAGCTGGAAGAAAGATTACAAAATTATCCTTGTTGAGGAATTACTGTATCCCCAACATGTACGAGAGAACCAGTTAACATCAAGGAATTTTTAGTAAAGTGACTAGAAGGAAATCTTTATGTTAACAGAATCCTTACTGTCCTCAATAACAAGTCCTCATACACCTTTGTAAAGGAAAGTCTATTCAAGATGAGAAGAAATTACCTAGTACTATTTTTGAGAGAAGTGTGGCTGAACTATGAAAAAACTTTAAAACCTTACTAGGAGATATAAAGTAAAAATAAAGGATGGATAGAAATGAGAACAGTTGTGTTTATAGATTAAATTCAGTTGTCAAGAAAATATAACTTGGATTTTTATAAAAGACTCTCATGCACTTTGTTCTTTCCTTTGTATCTTCATCTTCTTTTAAAAGTTTTGAGCCCTGGCTGGTTTGGCTAGGCGGTTAGAGCGTCAGCCCCAGGACTGAAGGGTTGTGGGTTTGATTCCCAGCCCTGGTCCTGTAGCATGGCAGTCAGACACAGAGGGAGGAAGCCCAAGGATTTGGCCCCCATATTTTTTTAAAAATTTTTTTTCATAATTTGTCTATTGATTTTCAATTTTCCTGGCAGTTCTCGGAGACCAACAGAATTTGAATCAAGGAATGAAACGTGTTTTGTAGAAATGACGCTAATGTAGACCCTTGAGTGGCAGAGACAGAAGGCAGAGAAGCCAGGTGGATGTCTAAGTCAAGAATTATAAGGGCACCCTGGCCGTTTTGGCTCAGCGTTTAGAGCATCGGCCTGCGGTCCAGAGAGTCCCGGGTTCGGTTCCCGCTAAGGGCATGTACCTTGATTGCAGTTTGTCCCCTGCCCTGGTTGGGTCGTGAGGATGGCAACCACTCGATGTGTCCCTTTCACGTCGATGTTTCTCTCTCTCCCTCCCTCCCACTCTATCTGAACAAAATATCAAAAAATGTCCTCGGGTGAGGATAAAGGGAAAAAAAAAAGAATTATGAGGGCTGTGGGGAGGGGGTGGGTGGAGGTGGAAGAGGGCATAGAGGAAACATAAAATTAACAAAAAAGGACCTGGCCGGTTTGGCTCAGTGGTTACAGCGTCGGCCTTCAGTCCAGAGAGACCCAGGTTTGGTTCCTGTTAAGGGCGCGTACTCGGTTGCAGTTTGTCCCTGGCCCTGGTTGGGTTGTGCAGGTGGCAGCCACTCGATGTGCACCTTTCACATCGATGTTTCTCTTTCTCTCCCTCCCTCTCGCTCTATCTGAACAAAAAAATGAAAAAATGTCCTCAGGTGAGGATTAAAAAAAAAACTAGAAAAAAAAAGTATGAGGGCTTGAACTAAGGCCACGACAGTAGGGATCTAGAGGAAGAGATATTTAGGAGAGGGAATTTACAGATTGTAATAACCAATTGGATGTTAAAAGGACAAAGTTTAGAGAGACACTAGCATTGCTGGGTCACCAGATGTCCATTTTTATGTTTTGTTTTGTTTTGTTTTAGAAGGAATGCATTTTATAGGGAGGGAGTTCCAGAATGAGGAAGGAATTTCTCCTGGAGTGGGTAAGGTTAGTGATGCTCAGAGTTCAGAGTGACTTGAAGTGTTTGTAACTGACAGGTTGGAATCAGTTGTTTTTCTCCTTCACATTGTCAGAACTGGTTATTTTCACAGAAAGTTTCAGGCAGCACTTTTGGTCATTTGGGCAGTTTAAGTATTGAATTTCCTGCTCTGCAGGCCTTCCTGCACATGCCACGGTAAAGCTGGCTCTTCGCTATAGTGGGATCTGAGCAGAACACCTTTCCTTTGACAGCTTATAGTTCTCAGCTTCATATTCTCTGCTTGGTTTCGCTAATTTCTTGTATGGCATCATTTATTAATTTAAGGGATTAGAATCCTTCAAAACTGTTGAAATAAGAAACAGCAAAATCATTGTTTCCTCCATTTATGTGGGAAATAATGAAATGCCAGTAATCTCTCTCTAGATCACTGGTTTATTGTACAAGGTATAACTCAGGAACAGCTAGATGGAAATGGTGCATAAGGCAAAGTGTGTGGGAGGAGGTGTGCACCCCTCTTCTCCACATGTTCGCCAACCGGAAGCTCCCAGTTGTCTTCTTAGTTAACGAAAAAATAATCCTTGTGTCTGGCAGTGTTCTGTGTGTTTTACAAATATTGACACATTTAATTATCATAATAATCTGTGAGGTAGGCACTGTTTTATCCCCACCGTACAGATGAAGAGACTGGGATGCTGAAAGATTAAGAAACTACCTAGTAAGTAATGGAGCAGGTTTTGGTTGTTTTTTGTTTTTTTAAATTTTCACCTCAGGATATTTTTTCCATTTATCTTTAGATAGAGTGGGCGGAGGGGGTTGGGGGTGGGGGGGTGGGACATCAACTGGCTGCCTCCATCACCACCCTGACCAGGCCTGAGGACAAACCGCATCTGAGGTACTTGCCCTTGATGGGAATGGGACCCACAACTCATTGGTCCGCAGGCCGCCGACTAACCGTTGAGCCAAACTGGCCAGGGCTGGAGCAAGTTTTTTAACCCAGGCAGTCTGGCCACAGAATCCATGCTGTTAGCCACAGTTGGAACTATATGCTTGGGGTTAGGGAACGAGGTTGGGATAGAAGACATAGTGGTCTATTCATTCTAGACAAAACACTTGTTCCTGTTGTGTGCTGAGCAATAGGATAGACACTGGGGACAAAGCAAGTAGATGTGCTGTGTCCAGAGAGTGCCCTGGGCTCATTGAAAGTAGACACCAGAAAAGACTGAGGATACAATGTTTAAGCTAATCATGATTTTTTAAATCATTAGGGAAGACTAAGAAGTACCAAAGAGCAAAACTAGGTGAGGAAGAAAGCAAAGTAAGTAGTTTCAAGAACAATTGAGAGATGCCCTCTGTAATAGGTGTCGTTGGAGACGCATTCAGTGGGGGTGGGGGGTGGGGGCAGGGGCAGAAGCCATTGTGCTTTCATTTATATAAATGTGCATAAAATGGAAGTAGAAATCATTAACATCTCCAGAAGACAAAGCGGGCAAATCATATTAAAGAAAACAAAACATAAAAAAACTATAAAAGTAGACATATCAAAAATATTCAAACATAGTAATCAAAATAAAGAAATTTAAAATGTAGTCTAAATTTAAAACAAGTTAAAAATGCAATGTTTATAGACTTCTGCTTCTGGCCAAGATGGAGTAGAGGGAGTGGATTTACCTTCTTCCACAAACAACCCAACAACAAAAAGACAGTACATGAAACAATTGTTTGAAGACGCTGGATGTCAGACAATGCAGGACAGTCATCCCTGTGAGATGGAAAACCAACGAGGTAAGCCCTCTTATCGCCCCAGTTTATTGCCTTGAGAGGGTTTGCAGGTTATAGCAGAGGAAGGGGAACCTGGAGTGGAGGCCAGCAGACTCCCTGAGTCCAGGCATGTAGCTGAGAATCTGGGGAGAGCAGAACAGGTGGGGATCACAGGACAGAACACCAGAGGAGAGATCTGCGTAGGATCTCCCTTGAGTTGTCAGAGCACAGGGCAGCAAACGTGTGAGGAAACTGCCTGAGGCCAGGGGAAGAACGCTCTGAAGGAGCAGGGTATAGTACCTGACATTCACATGGGGAGGATTGCCTGTTACTACTAGTCAGCCTGGAAAATTCTAATTCCCAGAGTACTGGGAGTGAACTGTCTGTATCTGTCACGCATTGAAAGGGAAGGAAACTGTCTAGTTCAGACTCTATAGTCCCCAAAAATATATTTCAACAACAAAGGTAAGAGATTGTATGGAATGGGAGAAAATGTTTAGAGATCATATATATCTGATAAGGGTTTCATATCCAGAATATAGAAAGAACTACAACTTAACAAAAATCAAACGATCCAGTTTTAAAATAGGCAAAGAACTTGAATGGACATTTCTCCAAAGAAGATCATACAAATAGTCAATAGGCCCCGGGTTCAGTTCCCACCAAGGGCACGTACCAAATGGTCAATAGCACATGAAAATAATGCAAATTAACAGCACAAGGAGTGAGCACTTAACTATTAGGATTGCTATAATATTTTTTTTATTTTTTATTTTTTTATCCTCACCCGAGGACATTTTTCCAGTTTTTGTTCAGTTAGAGCCGGAGGGAGAGAGAGGAGGAGAGAGAGAGAGAAACATCGATGTGAAGGGACACATCGAGTGGTTGCCACCCTCACGACCAACCAGGGCCAGGGACAAACTGCAACCGAGGTACGTGCCCTTAGCGGGAACTGAACCTGGGTCTCTCTGTACCGCAGGCCGACGCTCCAACCGCTGAGCCAAACCGGCCAGGGCTGCTATAATATTTTTTAAAAATAGTATGACATGTCAAGTCTGGGGGAAAATTGTTACCCTTGTATATTGCTGGTTAACCCTTCTATATTGCGGGTGTGAATGTTAAATCATGCAGCTGCAGTGGAGAAGTTTGATGGGTCCTCAAATAGCTAAATCAGAAAATTACTACATAACATAGCAATTCCACTCCTAGGTCTGTGCCCAGAGGAGCTGAAAGCAGAGACTCCAGCAGATCCTTGTATGCTATGTTCATTGCAGCAGCATTCCTAACTGCCAGTAGGTGGAAACAACCCAGATAAATGGATAAGTAGAGGGTGGGTGATCCATACACTGGATATTACTATTCAGCCAAGAAGGAATGAAGTTGTCATACATGCTACATCATGGATGAACCTTGAAAGCATGCTAAGTAAAATAAGCTAGGCACAAAAACACAGATATTGTATGTTTTACTTGTTATTTCTAGAATAGGCAAATTCATAGAAACAAAGTATATTAGAGGTTTTTGGGTTTTGAAGGGAGGGAGGAACATTGCTTAATGTTTATGCCTTTGTTTGGGGTGAGGAACAAGTTTTGGCATTAGCAGTGATGGCTGCACAGCACTATGACTGATGCCACTGAACTGGTGACTTAGCAGTGATTAAAATGCAAACTTTTTTGTACATGTTTTACCATCATTTTAAAGATTAGTGATGTAATATACCAAAACCACTGAATTAGTATTCTTTGAGTGGATGAATTGTGTGATATGTGAGTTATATCTCAAAGCTGTTTTTAAAAGGTACAAAGCAAAATAAAGACATTTATTTTGTCTGACTTACATAAGCTGAAACAGTTTATTACCAGCAGACACACATTATAAAAAATATTAAAAGATGTGCTTCATGGAGAAGGGAAATGAAACCAAATGGAAATTAGTATCTACCAGAAAGAATGACAGGCACTGCCAAGTACATAAGTAGATGTATATTTCTTAATATTTAAATACCCTTAACAGATCATTGGCCGGGCATTTGTTTTCTTTTGCTGTGTAACAGATTTCCACAAATTTAGCAGCTTCAAACTGCACCTACTTTCCAGCTCAACAGTTCTCTAGGTAGAAGTCGGATACAGTGTGGCTGGGTTTTCTGCTCAGATAGCCAACCAGTGATATCAGGTGTTGGCTGCTCTGAGTTCTCAGCTGGGGGGTGTAGGGGGAAATCTACTTGTAAGCTCACTCTAATTTATGGCAGGTTCTGTTCCACGTGGCTACAGGACTGAGCTCCCTATTTCCTTGGTGGCTATCAGCTGGGAGCTGCATTTAGCTCCCACAGACTGCCCACACTTCTTGCCACATGATACCTTCTATCTTCAGGCCAGTAATGCTCACATGTTTCTTGTGCTTCAAATCTTTGACTTCCCTTCTGAAGTCAACTGGAGAAAACACTTATCTGTAAAGTAAGGATGTTAGATCAGGTCAGGTTTTGTTTCTATTTTACATTCTCAAAAAAGAGAATTTTTGGTAGAAGAGTTTGATTCCAAATGAAATCTGGCATTAAACTCTGGAGATTAAGGGGGAAGGCAGTCTACATAGCTCTTCTCTTCCTGCTCCTGTGATTTCTGGGCTAGCTCTGATAGTCCTTTGCGCATTGATGGCTGTGTGACAGCCTGTGCTGAGGGGTTCTAGGCCAAGGAATTAGGCATCCCAGCCGCAGCAAACTTTCTTCATGTTTCTTTCTTTTCCCCAGCTTTGCCTTCTTGGATCTCTCATTACTCAAGAAAACATCAACAAGCACATGGAGGGCATGGAAGCCAAGTCACCAACTGACCAGTTCCCCGTAAGCTGAGCTGCCTTCTTTGTCTTCCAACTGAGAAACCCTTTTTGCTTAAGTCCTGAAGTTCCTTTCCTAGCAATTCAGAAATTGTATCTCAGACACTCCAGGAGACTAGCACCATTTGTTAGTAGAAATAGCTTTATTTCCTTTTTTATCAAAGAAACCACAAGTTTATCAGTAATGTGGGCAGGAATCAGGTAGGGTAATATTGAAGAAGAAAACACTTTTTGACCACACTAAGGAACTGAACTCACAGCAAGCTACCTCCTCCAAGGAAGATTAAAGAACTGAGAATATTCTTTTCTGTTAGGGTTTCTCTAGTCCCTGGTTGTCCTGGTTGTGGTTCTGGCTGTGTTCCTTCCTCCTCAGGGGTGGTTGTGTGGAGGGACTCAGACAACATGATTATCAAGCGTGATTGCACCAAGGCAGGAAGTGTTGAGGGAGATGGAATCTCGGAGCAGTCTGCCCCCAGAGATTGGAGGGGGACGTGGCTCCCTGCACCTCATTGAGCTTTTCCCTCACAGGGTTCCTCACATGTTGCCTCACACACATGGGAAATGCCCCCAGAAAATGCTGCAGTTTTTGCTCTCAACTATCCTACATAGTTTGAAGGATTAAAGATAACATAACTGGTTATTATATTTACTGTTTTTGTTGCTCATTCTTTATTCATGATTTTTCAGGTTTCTCTCAGGGATTGTTTTCCTTATGCCTGAAGAACTACCTTTTTTTCCTTTTGCATGTCTTGTAGTCAGTCTGCTGGTAACCAGTGCTGTTTGTTTTAGTTCATGGGAGAATGTATTTTGCATCATTTTTGATATTTTCATTCAACATAGAAATTCTACTTGATAGTTGTTTTTTTCAGCATTAAAAAATGATTCCACTGCCTTTTAGACCTTCATAGCCTTTGAGAGAAATCCTCAATTATTAAAGTAGGTTTTTTTTTTTTTATGTTTTTATTGATTTGCGAGAGAGAGAGAGAAACATTGATTGGTTGCTTCCAGTATACTCTAGGACTGGGGACCAAACCCACAACTTGGGCACGTTCCCTGACTGGGAATCAAACCAGCAACCTTTTGGTGCATGGGACAGCACTCAACCAAACAAGCCACAGGGCATAATCACCACTTTATTTATTGTTGTTAATCCTCACCCAAGGATATTTTTCCATTGATTTTTAGAGAGAGTGGAAGATGGAGGTGTATGGAGGGAAGGAGAGAGAGAGGGTGAGGGGGAGAGAGAAAGAGAAAAACACATTGATGAGAGAGAGACATCAGTTGGCTGCCTCCCATACACACTGTGACCAGGAACCAAATCCAAGACCCTTCAGTGCGTGGTTCAACGCTCCGAGCACTGAGCCACACCAGCCAGGGTTTTATTTTGTTTTTTTTAATTTTTATTTATTGATTTTAGAGAGAAAGAGAGAAACACTGATTTGTTGTTCCACTTATTCGTGCATTCATTGGTTGATTCTTGTATGTGCCCTGACCAGGGATCGAACCTGCAGACTTGGCATTTAGGGTCGAGTATATAACCAACTGAGCTGACAGGCCAGCGCCTAATCACCACTTCTTTTTGATGTGGCTAATAAAGGCTTTGCTTCTGTGTCTGTTTTCTTGTCAAATTGGTTTGCTACTAGAAAAATATAATCTCATCACCATTTTATTGTTTTTTTGCCTATAAATGTTTAGAGAAAATGTTGTAGGTATTTATTTTAGGTCATAACAAATGGCTAGGTTGGTCCGTTAAGACTTAAGTTGTCCTGACTTGATTGTTTTTCCCTCTTTTCTGGCCTTGAATTTATGCTCTTTGTTTCACATAATGTAAACACAGATTAACTTTTGGTTTCTGGTTCTCCATGCTATAACTATTTATAGCAGACTTTATTTAAATAAAAGTGCTTCTGACAATTTCTAAACCAAAATGTAACAGAACTGGTTTTGGGACAGTAGGCACCTAATACCTGTTCCAGAATTAAGGAGTTGACCAGAATCCAACATAAATGCTAATGACTCCTGGAATAAATTCTGGTCTATTCTCTTTCCCTACCCCAGTGCTGTCTACCAAAACTATCTGTCAGTATTCAGGAAAGGAAGGGCTGAGTTACACATCTGGCTGAATACCAACTTGTTTCATGTTGTAGACACTGGTAACCTTCAAGGATATACTTGTGAACTTCACCAGGGAGGAATGGAAGCTCCTGGACGCTGCTCAGCAGGTCATGTACAAAGATGTGATGCTGGAAAACTACAAGAATCTAGTTTCCTTGGGTAAGACTAGCCTCTGTTTTTGGAGATGCACTTCTTGTGATGATTCAGGTTCTTCATTGACCAGAAAGTATGGAGACCCTGAGTCATTTATCGGAGTGTGAGCTTGGGTTCAGGGACCTCATTTCTGTGGGCATTTAGAACAGGGTTTTTGTACTCCTGCTTTTTTGGAAAAAAAATTGTTTGAATTTGTTGAATTTTTAAAAGTGCACATTTTGGCCCTGGCCGGTTTGGCTTAGCGTTTAGAGCATCAACCCTCAGACTGAAGGGTCATGGGTTCGATTCCTTGTCAAGGGCACATACCTGGGTTGCAGGTTCCATCCCCAGCCCCGGTTGGGGTTGTGCGGGAGTCAACCGATTGATGTGTTTGTCACATCAGTCCCCCTCGGCCCCCCGCTTGCACTCTCTCTAGAAATCAATGGAAAAAGTATCCTTGAGTAAGGATTAACAACAACAAAGTAATAATAATAAAACAATAAAAATGCACATTCTGCTGCCTCTATAGCCTCAATTTGTCTGCTCTTCAGAGTTTCCTGGGACTGTGAAGGGGTTGAACCTGCGATGTTTCTCAGAGCTCCCAACCCTTACCAATTCTTTTTTTTTAAATATGTTTTTATTGATTTTTGAGAGAGGGGGGAAGGGAGAGAGAGAGAGAGAAACATAACTGTGAGAGAAATACATCAGTCGGCTGTTTCCTGCACACCACCTTTTGGGGATCGAGTTCATAACCCAGGCATGTGCTCTGACTGGGAATCGTCTGGGACCTCTCAGTCCATGGGATGACGCTCAATCCCCTGAGCCACACTGGCTGGGCTAACCCTTGTCCAATTCTCTCTTTCACTGTGAACAGGACATCAACTTCCCAAGCCAGATGTTATCCTCCATTTGGAAAAAGGGGAAGAGCCATGGCTGGTGGAGAGAGGGATTCATCAAGATACCCATCCAGGTGAGGATCAGACAAGCCTCGTTTCAGGCAGTAGCCTGGATGACCCATTGGGCTAGCATTCCAGGAGATAGTAGTCACTAGTTCTCTTTTCTGAGAAGAAGTCTCCATTTATTTACCCTCTACTTCCCCATTCTGGTCTTTCTACAGTCTTGGCATTAGCATCCAGAGATAAAGGTGTCTTAACTTCTTTATTAAAATAACCTTTTTCTTGATGTGCTTGGCTTGAGCCCTGCTTATTGCCACCAACTCTAGCATCCCCAGTCTCTCATTTTTACAGAGTCTGTTTTCTGTGTTTTCTTGTTTTTTTCCTTTCATGCAGCTCCTCCCCACAGCCTCTGTGTGCAGGCTCTGCAGCGGGGCCCCAGCACTGCCACTGCCCTGTGCTGTGTCTGCCAGTCAGGGAGCCCGGCAGAGCTCGCCAGGCCCCGCTGCTCCTTCTCCTCCAGGGGGCGCAGCTCTCACATACCTGTGCTCGCACCCCTCTCTGGTCTGTGTTTAATGTTTTCTCCACTTATACCTATTTTATTTTAATCTTAATATTTAAATGTAATCTTAATATGTAATATGTAAAATGCTGGTTTTTATGTGGATTTTTAACGTTACTTTTTTCCCTACTTCCCTGTATATAGAAAGTCAGCCTTCTAGGTTAAGAAATAGAAAGTAGTTTTTTGTTTCCGTCCTCCTTTGTTCTCTGTTAGTGATCTTTTCCTTGATCTTCTTTTCTGAGCTCAATACTCAGAAATTTTTCTCTTCAGCCGTCTTGGGCGTTGCTTATCGGAGTCATGCTGCAAATAGCCGGCTTTGCATGGCAGAACAGCCCGGACACTTGCTTGTGACCCTGTGTAGATTTGTACAGACAGACAGCTTTCCAAGCGCAGTGCAGCCTGCAGTCATTTCAGTCTGATACCTAATGTCCACACCTGTCAGGTGTTTCCCTGCATCTCAGGTTGTAGTGCTTTGGTCATGTAGATAAGAGGCGTTGCCTGACATAACTGCATTCATGGTTCAGGAACATTAAATTAGCTATGGTATGAAGAATGCATGTCAAGGAGAGGGCCTGGCCACAAGTAGACACATTAGGTTCTTCTGTCTTTAATAGTCGGATTAGATAAAGGGAGTGCATCCCTTTCTGTGGGATTCCCTTTATTGCCCCCCCACCCCCTAATGTCCTGATCCCATGTGGCATACCCAGTCCTATGGCTTCTCACTACTCTCTGTGCTGCTTTTATGTAGTGTTGCCAGCGCATTTCCTGTGTGCGGCTGTGCTCTTCCCATTCGTTTCCTGTCGAGGTTACAGACCACGTCTGAAAGCAGCTCTCAGTGGCTCACCTGTTCTGTCTCACTGAACGCACCGCCATTCCAATGCTAATACTTTTTAATTTTGCAAAACTTTTTTATTTCTTTCAGATTGGGAAACTGAAGTTGAAATTAAATCAGTGTCTAACAAGAGCATTTCTAAAAATAAACCATCCTGTGACATTAAAATGGAAGGAATGGCAAGGAGTGATCTCTGGTATCTGTCATTAGAAGAAGTCTGGAAATGTGGAGACAAATTGGACAAGTATCAGAAAAACCAGGAGAGACATTTGAGGCAAGTGGCATTCACCCAGAAGAAAGTACTTCCTCCAGAGAAAGTCAGTGAAAATGATAAATTTGGGGGAAACTGTCTTCTTCCTGCCCAGCTGGTACTGAGAGAGTATTTCCATAAACATGACTCACGTACTAAAAGTTTAAAAAATGATTTGGTTTTTAGTGGTCATCAGGAAAGCTGTGCAAGTAACAGTAGTGAATGTGGCCAAACCTTCTGTCAGAACATTCACCTTATTCAATTTGCAAGAACTCACACAGGAGATAAATCCTATAAATGCCCCAATAATGATAACACGCGTAGTCATGGCACATCCCATGGTGTATCAAAGGGTATACGTAGGGAAAAACCCTACGAATGTAAGGAATGTGGGAAATTCTTTAGCTGGCGTTCTAATCTTACCAGGCACCGGCTTATTCATACCGGAGAAAAACCCTATGAATGTAAAGAATGTGGGAAATCTTTCAGCCGGAGTTCTCACCTCATTGGGCATCAAAAGACTCACACTGGCGAGGAACCCTATGAGTGTAAAGACTGTGGGAAGTCCTTCAGCTGGTTCTCTCACCTTGTCACTCACCAAAGGACTCACACAGGGGACAAACTGTACACCTGTGGTCAGTGTGGGAAAGCTTTTGTTCACAGCTCCCGGCTTATCAGGCACCAGAGAACTCATACTGGAGAGAAGCCTTATGAATGTTCTGAGTGTGGGAAATCTTTCAGACAGAGCACACATCTCATTCTGCATCAGAGAACTCATGTTCGAGTGAGGCCCTATGAATGTAATGAATGTGGGAAGTCTTATAGCCAGAGATCTCACCTTGTTGTGCATCACAGAACTCACACTGGACTGAAACCCTTCGAGTGTAAAGATTGTGGAAAATGCTTCAGTCGAAGCTCCCACCTTTTCTCACACCAGAGAACCCACACTGGAGAGAAACCATATGAATGCCATGATTGTGGGAAATCCTTCAGTCAGAGTTCTGCCCTCATTGTGCACCAGAGAATTCACACTGGAGAGAAGCCGTATGAATGTTGTCAGTGTGGGAAAGCCTTTATTCGGAAAAATGACCTTATTAAGCATCAGAGGATTCATATTGGAGAAGAGATTTATAAATGTAACCAGTGTGGAATTATCTTCAGCCAGAACTCTCCCTTTATAGTACATCAAATTTCTCACACTGGAGAGCAGTTCCTAACATGTAATCAGTGTGGGACAGCGCTTGTTAGTAGCCCTAACCTTATTAGATACCAGACAAACCTTATTAGAGAAAATACATAGTAATATAGTGAATATGGAAAACTTTTCACAAAGAACAGTAACCTTATTTAGCTTTGGAGAAGTGGAGAGGAGCTGTACAGAGGTGATCCATGTGGAAAGGTTCTCAGTCTTGTTGCTACCCTTTTTTTTTTTCTCTAGAGAATGGTCTCGGTGAGGAGGGATGCATAGATTTCACTTTAGTATACAAATAAATTAAATTTTCTTATTTCCACAAAGTTCTACATAAGTAAGTGGCCTGGGAGCATTCTTGACCAAGTCTTAAGTGCTAAAATCTGAGAAAGAACCATTAAGTAGTTGAGTTGTTGAGAGATGGTCCAGCTTTCTTACCTGCTTAAAAGATAATAATGATAATGCTGCTTCAAGAAGATAAATCAGAGTTGTTGCTGAGAAGAATGCAAAATTAATACAGTCATTGTAACAAAAGATGGAAAGTAATATATTAATGAAATAACATGTCATTTTTACTTCATTGTCCCTCTCTTCTTGGGTACTTAATATTGTTCAGTCTGTTTCATGAGTCGGATATAATCACATTTTGGTTAGCCAGGAAAATACTTATAAGAAAAACAGAAATAATAACACATTAACTATTAGTAGTGCCCACTTAAAGATACATTTCCATGTGGGCAAGAATCAAAAAGTGTGGATAAATGGATAGAATTGATTTGTTAGATAATGGGATAATGAGTGAATTTATTCAGTGTCAATGTAATAATTTTTTAAGACATTTTTAAATATTAAAAAAGGCTATCTGGTTTCTCTATTTCACCTTCAAGGAAGCTTGAGAAGCATCTAGTAGCAACCTTTCCCATTAAATCAAAGTTATTTTGTGTCATAGAGTTGCACTATTTGAGACAGGGTCCTAAAGTCTCCTTGGTATTTAAAAACAGTTATTCTGCCCTGGCTGGTTTGGCTCAGCGGTTAGAGCATCCGCCTGCGGTCCGGAGAGACCCGGGTTCGGTTCCCGCTAAGGGCATGTACCTCGGTTGCAGTTTGTCCCCGGCCCTGGTTGGTCGTGCGGGTGGTGGCCACTCGATGTGTCCCTTTCACATTGATGTTTCCCTCTCTCTCTCTTTTCCTCTCTCTCCCTCCCACTCTGTCTGTACAAAAAATAAAAAAATAAAAATAAAAACAGTTATTCTTTGGACATTGGGACCCAGAGGAGCTTTGGGTATTTGAACACACCAGGGAGGGTCTCCATTTGAGTAGGAGCAGGTACCAGGGCAATTCTTGGAGCACGTATGCTCGGGAAATAAACAACAGCACTACCCAAAGGTACCGTCCTTCCAAAGTAGTCTTTCATCTTTATAAAGACGACTTGGTGGTTCAAAACATAAGCTTAAACTAGGCTTAAGTTCAAATTCCACCTCTTCCCTAAACTTGCTCGGTGACCTTGGGCATGCTTTCTGGGTCCTCAGTGCCTAACTTATGGATGTCCTGCTCTGTAAATTAGGGAAAACATTTCTTACCTTGTATGATCTTGGTGAGAGTTAAATGAGTGAACATAGAGACAGTTTGGAACAGTGCCTGGCATATTAAGTGCTTTACAGTTGTTGACTGTGGTTATCAGTATGGTTATTGCCCCACCTGGTGTCTGACATTCAACTTAGAACTTCCTGAGTCTTAATAAGAACTATCTTGAGTTCTCAGTTCTCTTCTAGTTATACACATTTTTCCCTTTTAGAACTTATCAACCTGAGGATATCACAGACCCATAGTGAGTGAATGAATTCATTTCCAAGGATCAAAGAACATATTTTAATATTTTATGCAAAATTATTTTCATACAAAGGTTTTCTCTTCTTGGAACAGGATCCTAATCTTTAGATTTTCTGATAAGTGCATGACCCTGAAAAGATTTAGTAAGAGACTGTATCTCAATTCTGTTTTATAGTACAAATGGTTTTCCTGTGTGTAGGGACTGACCATAATTTGCCATTTTCTAGCAAAGAATATACATGTTAAATGCTGGATGATTGACTTTTGAATGATAAATATTGTTGAAACCAACAGGACAAAATCTTTATATCTTTCACTTGAAAAAAAATCTAGAAAAGATTGTTAGAATCATGAGACTTTAGAACTACAAGGAAAGTGAAACTAACTCTTGCTCTTCATTGAGACACTGTGAGTTTTCTCAGGCTCACATATTTTAAAAATATGTTTTCATAGTTTTTTTTAGAGAGAGAGGAAGGGAGAAGGGGAGAGAAATATCCTTGTGAGAGAGAAACATTGATTGCCTCCCTTATGCATCTCAACTGGGGATCGAACCCACAACCCCGGTATGTGTCCTGACTGGGAATCCGTCTGGCAACCTTTCTGTGCACAAGATGACACTCAACCAACTGGGCCACACTGGCCAGGGCAGGGGTCACATTTTGAGTGAAGTCAGACCCAGACCTAGGTCACAGGTCCCTCAGTTACTGCTGCTCAAATTTTCTCAACTGTATAATGGAGGTACTATTAGTATCTACCTCAGAGTTGTGTGGATTAGTGTGATAATATGTATAATGTACTTAAAACAATGCCTGGCACATAGGGAATACTATATGTGTTGGTGAGTAACAATATTACTATTTTTAATCTAAGGAATGTTGGAAGATATGTGTGTGTCCATGGATGATAACTGAAACACTACTATGACAGTGCAAAAATTACAGTATAAAAATGTAATATGGTTATAATGTATCCATGTAATATGTAGACATTAAGATTATACAAACAAAGATGGGCAACAGGAAAAATGTTGATCTGTCATGTGCTATGAAAAAGCATGATAAATGTAAATATGCAATAAACTCATGTAAAAAATAAATGGACTGTAAAAAATGAAAAGAATCTTGCTCGAAACTAACTTGTCAGAATATTAATAGTAGTTAACCTACATCTTGGGGGACTTAGCATTTACTGTTCCTTTTCCTTTTTCCCCCCTTTACTTTTCTTTCCAAACTCTTCAAAGAATACATACTACTTTTAGGATCAGGAAAACAGTGTCATCAGTGATGGGATGTTTTGTCTTCAAAGTTCTTATCTACAAGTAACTTGAAGGGAGTTGGTCAAGATAACAGGATACAAGATATGCAGTAAGTGACTTCATTTCTATGTACTGGCACTGAACAATTTAGAAATGAAGTAAATACAATATCGTTCACAATGATATAAAAATGTGGAAATATAAATGTAATGAAATGAGCAAGGTCTGTACAGTACAAAGTGTAAAACTGCTGAAATTCAAGATCACATAATAGAGGACATATGTGATAAATGGACTAATACACCGTGGTCAAGGACGGGAAAACTCAATATTGTTAAGATGCCAATTCTCCCCAAATTAAATTTTTTTTTTGATGCTCACCCAAGGACATTTTTCCATTTTTTGTTCAGATAGAGTGGGAAGGAGAGAGAGAAACATTGATGTGAAAGGAACACCTCCCGTACAACCCAACCAGGGTCGGGGATAAACTGCAGCTGAGGTGTGTTCTCTTAGGAACCGAACCTGGGTCTTTCTGGACCACCGGCTGATGCTCTAACCACTGAGCTAAACTGGCCAGGGCTCCCCAAATTAATTTTTAAGTTCAGAGGCAGTTGTGTGTAATTTGACAAGCTAATAAAAAAATGTATACGGAAATTTAAAGACCTAGGATAACAAAAGCTTTTTTTTTTTTTAAGAAAACATTTTCTCTTTATTGATTTTTTTTTTCTTTAAGAGACAGAGAGAGAGAAACATCGATGTGAGAGAACATAGATTGGCCGCCTCCTGCGTGCCCCCCACTGGGGATGAGGTGCACATCCTGGGCATGTGCCCTGACCAGGAATCAGACTCATGACCTCTGGGTGCATGGGTGGATGCTCAGCCACTGAGCCACACCAGCTGGGCCCATGTATACATTTAGAAAGCAGTCTATAATGACAACATCAGTGGCTGCCGGTGGCTGAGGGTGGCAGAGTAATTGCAGACAGGAGCATAAACACCCTCCATACGACCCAGTTTGGTGTATGTAAATTATACTTCAATAAATTTGATTTTAAAATACTCAGAAAACCAGGAACTTTGGGGGAAGAAAAGGTGCAGCTGCAAGTGAACGCTAATAGTAGTAGTAATTTCTGATTTTAATCTATATATGGACAGCTTAATATGAGGTAGCCAATCAGCTAAACCCTTTAATGCGGTCGATTGTTTCTGTAACTCAGGAAAATAATGTTATACCCCCTATAATTAAGGCAACTTGAGTTTGCAATTTTAATTTTCCCAGAATCGCATAGGTAGTAAATGTGGGAGCTTCATTTGAGAAGTAACTACCAAGTGTGTGGCATGTGGTAGAGGGTCATACAAAATGAACTACTGTAATATGAAAAATAAACATTACCTTGTAAAAGGTTGGCACGTGTAAAATGTTGACATATTTAAACCCCCCCTTTGGGAAAACAAATTTTATAAAAATGTTATGCTGTTATACATTTTTGAATTAAAGTGTACATTAGGGCTTTTACCAAAAAGGGACCTTAGTACACTTAATTAACACCACTGCTGTGTTTGTTGTCACTGTCCACTTAATTCTTTACGTTATTTAAAACCTACAGCGCCCGCTCCCCAGAGCACAGCCCCGCCCCGGCCCTCGCTCTCAGCCCCACCCCGTGCGCCAGGCGCTCCCGCAGAGGCTTCTGGGAGTTGTAGTTCGTTCTGTCCTCGGTCTCAATGACGCACTTCCTGTGCGTCCCCATCGGTGGCCATTGGTTCCGCCAGGCCCTCAGAGCATCGTTCCGCGGCTGGTGTCCCGCAGCCGTTGCCCCTCGAGGTGACCGAAACGGAGTGGACCACCCACGTTTTCCCTCAGGGCCGTCGTCTCCCCCAACCCCCCTCGCCCCATTCAGGGTTTGGAGGAGCCGACGTGTCGAACCCCTCACTGCCAGGCGGCGGAGGGTACCGACTAGTCAGGCCTCCCCCGGGCCCGCGCGGGTGGGGATGGAGCGGAGGTGGGCAGGTGTCGGTGCTCCTGGCCCCTGTCTCGGGCGGGAGGGCCCCCGGCGTCGGGTGGGGCCGCGCTGAGACCTTCCCTCACGTCCCCTCTTCGCGCAGCCTCGCCCGCCACCTCCGCGGGCACGCCGACGGCGTGGGCATGGCCACCAGGGTCCGCACAGCCGCCATCTGGGTGAGTCGGTTTCCTCTCCTTTGTGGACAGCTGCCCCGGGGCTGACGTGCGCACATTCCAGCTCCTCCAGGGCTTGGAAATGTCCAGATGACAGGATTGTTGCGAAACTTACCGAGATAATAGCCACTGAAGTAAAACATTACTCGTGTCATAGACCCTTATTGAGGTGTAATTGAAATGCCATAAAAGCGCATCCGGCTAAAGTATGTCATTCAGTTGTTGTTAGTACAGTAGCCCCCCTTAATTCGCGGGGAGGGGGACAACATTCCAAGATCCCCCAGTGGATGCCTGAAACCGGGGCAGTACGAACCCTGAGTATGCTGAGTTTTAACCAATACATACAACCTTTTCCACTTCAAGGAAACACTTCATGACCACTCTGTGGCATATTCGAATCGCTGGCATCACCACACTTACGTGTTGGAGCCGTCATTAAGTAAAATAAAGGTTAATTGGACACAATCGCAGCACTGCGGCCCAGCAGATGACGAAGAGGAGTAGCAGGTGGGAGGTACACAGCCATGTATATGCTGGACACGGGTTGATTCCCGTCCTGCGTGGGAAAGAGTTGGAATAGCGCAACATTGCAATTTAAAATAGCGCAATAGTGCAGTTTAAAACCTGAGAATTGTTTATTTTGTGGAATTTTTTATTTAATGGTTTTGGACCGTAGTGGACCATGGAAAGTGAAACATCAGCTGAGGGCTGAATTCTGTCTTCACATAGTAGTGCAAATATCACCACTACCTAATTTCAGAACATCATCATCACTCCAGAAAGAAACCCTGGCCCCATCCCCAGTTACAAGGGTCATACCCTACAGTATACATACAATGGTTTTAAAATAACAGTTTATTACTAACAGGGATACTACATAGAGTTCATTGGTTTTTATAGCTTATTTTATCGAAAGAGTATACAAATGCCACGTGTTAAAGTCTGAAAAATTGTTTTTTGTTGCTTTACTTCCAATTTGATAACCAAATGCATTTGTTGACATTAATTTTTAACATTATGATTGCCCTCTCGTTGATCATGTAAAATATTTATATGATTCAAAATGTAAAACTGCAGAAGGGTGGCCTAGCCAGTATGGCTCAGTGGATGAGCGTTATCCCAAGGACTGAGGTCCCAGTTTGATTCCAGTCAGGGCACAGGCCTGGGTTACAGGGTCGATCCCCAGTAGGAGGCAGCCAAACAGTGTTTCCTTTCTTACATCAATGTTTCTATCTTTCTCTCCCTCATTCTCTCTCTCTCTAAAAAATCAATAAAAAACATTTTAAAACAACACCAAAAACTGCAGAATGATATATTCAGACAAGCCTTGCTTTCATTCCTTCCGCCCTTTTTCTCTCCCCCAGAGGCAACCCTTTTTACAGTTTCTAGTTCATCTTTTCAGTGATTCTTTTGGAAGTATCAGACACACATATACAGACATGCCTGACCTGACTCATTGCTGAGCTTTGTCAAGAAGCATTTTTTTTCTGCCTCAAGCCATTGCCTAGAGTTCAACATGCCTTTTCTCACATGTACATAATTGTATTTTGTTTTTAAGAAAATTTCTGGAATAAGTTTCCTCTGGATATTTCCCTCTTTATCTCCTCCCATCACTCTCTCCCACTGACTATCTCTTAGATCCTGTTCTCACATGCCCACAGCACTGTCAGGTCACTTAGTTCCCTACCGCTCTGAGCCTGAGGATCATTGTTCAGATCCCACTCACGGGAGGTGCCCTCTGGTTGGGGATGAACATTTACTGGTGACTTGAGACCTGCAGCGTGTGGCCCCTGAAGAATCTTCCTCGTTTCCCCTGTGCTGTTGGGTCACATCTGCCCATATCCTGAGGTTTGTGAGACCTGTCACTTAGGTGCTGTTTGTTGTAGGTATCTGGGCTTTTCCCTTTACTATTCTGGTAGATCTCTTGTGGCTTTTTTTGAGTTTTTTGGAGATTAAAAAATTACAGTGCTACCCTGATCTCACTCTACTCTCAATGTTTTAACTACAAAAAGGAGCCATCAGTGGGAGAGGTTAAGTGAGTTTGTTCATGGACATCTAAAGAGAAGGAACTCTAACTGAAATAGACTATGTTATTCAAAATCTATATCACTGGTGTACACCCCACCTAAAACAGAGTTTAATTTTGAGCATCTAGTATCAGGTTCTTATTTAAGTGGCTGCCCAAAGTTGTTTAAATCTCAGGGTGGTCATTGTGCTTGTGAGGTTCATGAAGCCTTTGGAGAGTCTGGGGTGGGGGCTGTCATTGGTGTATTTGGTTTCCCATTTCCATTTGTCTTCCTTCTGCCCCACAGTGGCCATGACCACATTCTGCAGAACACCCAGCCTGTTCCCCTGCAAACATGTTCTTTAGCAAAAGAGATCAGGGTTGGGGCCCAGAGGATATATGCTCACTGAAGTGGTTTGCTCTTGAGTCTACAGGTCCCACCCCTCCTGGAACGAGATAGTTCAGACAAGAGGATCAGAAAGCTCCAAAGTCAGGAACCCACAGTGGGTCAAGGGACCCCTGACCAAAGGCCTCTCCCTAGAGAACCCCAGCAGAGGCTTAAGAGCCACAAGACAGAGCAGATCCTAGAGTGGCTATTTATTTCTCAGGAGCAGCTGAAAACTGCTGAGTTTGAGGTGAGTTGCTTGTTTCTTGATTATCACTTCTTTATTACTGTTATTCACTTATTTACTCTTTTGGTAGAGAAGGGGATGTGATTCGTAGTTTGCACGGTTGTTAACACTCCTTAGTTTGTGGCCTGCTTATTGTTATGGTTCCTAAAAGGTTCCTTTCTATCTGTATTTACACGTTTCCTGATTTCCCCACACTCCATTTCCATCTCCTTTTTGTCCCCCTGCTAAAATTATTTAGTTTTTACGGGTATTCTTTGGTCAGTGTGTTTGTAACGTGTGTCGTCAGTGCTGTGTGTGCTCATGCATCTTGCTGTATTGCTCGTACTTTTCACTGAGCACCTGCTTCAGGGGCACCCATGCTCCTGCGTGTTTTACACTGTGAAGCTGGGCTGAGGTGTCCACAACGGTGACTGTTGTTCGTTTGTTTGTTTTTGTTTTTTATTCCTCATCCGTGGATATTTTTCTACTTATTATCAGATAGAGTGGGAGGGAGGGAGAGAGAGAGAGACAGAGAGAAACATTGATATGATAGAGTCGCATTGACTGGCTGCCTTCCGCACGACCCGACCAGAGCTGGGGATGAACTGCAACCAAGGTACGTGCCCTTGATCCGAATGGAACCCGCAACTCATGGGTCCGCGGACCAACGCACTAACCACTGAGCCAGACCGGCCAGGGTTGTCATTCATTTTTTTAATTTGAGCCATTCTGGTTGTTGTAAGGCAGTATTTTTTTTTTTAAATGTTTTTGTCTTTATTGATTTTAGAGAGACAGGAAGGGAGAGGGAGAGAGAGAGAAACGTCAATGAGAGAGAGAACATCGATTGGTCACTTCCTGCACTCCCCCCCCCAGGGGGGGTCGGCCCACAACCTGGGCGTGTGCCCTGACTGGGAATCGAACCAGCAACCTCTGGGTGCATGGTCGACACTTAACCACTGAGCCACACCGGCTGGGGCAGATATTGCAGACCCTCTGCCAGCAAAAAGATTATGACTTGCTAAAAGCTCAGATGTTATCATTTTTTACCAATAAAGTATATACATCTTTTTTTGTTTTTGTTTGAAATAATGCTGTTGCACACTTAATAGACTTTAGTGTGGTGTAAATATAACTTTTATATGCTCTGGGAAACAACACGTATGTGACTATTGTGATATCCGCTGTATTGTGGTGGTCTGGAATCGACCTGTGGCATCTCTGTGTTCTACTCATGCGTATTCACCGAGCGGCATCGCTGGCTTTCTCCTTTGTTCCCATGTTGTGCTCTGTGCTTCTGTTTTAGCTCCTTTGACTCCCAGTCACATCTGCACATGCTTCGCTGGGCTTCCCTGTGCTTTGCTGAACACTTTGGGCAGGAATTTGTTTCACCTGCTGTTCTGTCATCTGCAGCTAACTGAAGACTGGAACCTGATATTCTCACATGTTGAGTGAAGGGCTGACTCATACAGTACTTATTGACGGGGAGGGTTTCAGTCATTTCTTGCCTTTTGTTGTTGTTGTTCAGATAGAGTGGGAGAGAGAGAGAGAGAGAGTGAGTGAGAGAGAGAGGGAGGGAGGGAGAGAGAAAGAAACATCGACGTGAAAGGGACACATCGAGTGGTTGCCACCTGCACGACCCAACCAGGGCCGGGGACAAACTGCAACTGAGGTACATGTCTTTAGCGGGAACTGAACCCAAGTAACCACTGAGCCAATCTGGCCAGGGCTCATTTCTTGCTTTTATCACAAAGAATGTAATTAATGAAAACCCTAGTTAAGTAGTCTGTTGTTTCCCATAAACACAGTAAGATAATCCAAGACTGACTGGGATTGTGCTCTTTCAGGGGCCGTTGTCATTCACTGATGTGTTTGTGCACTTTACTGGGGAAGAGTGGCAACTGCTGGACCCCGCTCAGAAGCACCTGTACCGGAGTGTGACGTTGGAGAATTATAGCAACCTGGTGTCCCTGGGTAAGTGCTCTTCAGGCTGCTGCTCAGCTGCTTAGCGCTGGGAGGGGTGGGCTTTTATGAAATGCTTAGTGAGCTTAGACTTCTGTTAAAGGCCCGTTTTTCTTAGTCTTCCTTTGTCATCAGAATATACAAATGTAACGATGTTTGATTAGCCAGAGTACAAAAGGGTAGCTTCATCATCCTGCGTCTTAACCAGATCTTCCCCATCCTTCGTTATCCCTGAATTTTAGGCAGTTTTGGTCTCTTATCTGTGACTTTCCATTCTCAGGGTATCAGCACACCAAACCTGATGTCATCTTCCAGTTGGAACAAGAAGAGCTGTGGATGATGCAGGGCCAGAATCCAAGTCAAGGCCATCCAGGTGATTGATCACGCCACATACATTTTTTATTTTTATTTAGAACTGGTGTGAGTTCTAGAGTGATGTGCACCTCAAGTTTGTACTGTCTCATCCGTAACCATTCTCTCATCGTTACTCTCCTCTGGCTGCTCAGCCCTCTCCTTTCCCTCGTAGCAGACTCACTTCATCATGCTGAGCAGGCTTCTCCCTGACAGCACCTGATGTGCCTTCCACATCCCTTCTATTTCCTTTCTGTTTTTTATTTTATTTATTTAATTATTTATTTATTTATTTATTTTCCTCACCTGAGGACATTTTTGCACTTATCTTCAGATAGAGTGGGAGGGAGAGAGGGAGGAAGAGAGAGAGAGAAACATTGATGTGAGAGAGACATCGACTGGTTGCCACCCACACGACCCCAACCAGGGTCGGGGACAAACTGGAACCTAGGTTTGTGTCCTTAGTGGATACCAAACCAGGGACTCTCTGGTCCGTGGGCTGACGCTCTAACCATCCAGGGCTAAATATATTTTTAAATCCCTTAGACTGTATCCCACAACAACAGTCTCAACTTCCTTCCTTCTCACTGAGCCCACTGCTCCATGTGTCTGCGTGCTGATCGCTGCCACGTTGTCCCTGTCCTTGCTGAGTGCCTCCCGCAGCATCGCACTGTGTGGTTTCCCTGCCCCGAGCCTTCCCCGAGCCTGCCTCAAGCAGCAGCCCTGCCCCCACTGTCCTGCTGCACAGAGACCTGCTCACTCTCCTCGTCCTTCACAGGCTGCTCTTGCTGTTCCCTCTGAGTCCATGGGAGTCTTTGTTTTTAGATGCCTCACTTTCCTCGTATGTCGTAACCATTTTTCTTAGTTAATCCTCACCCCAGGATATCTTTTTTCCATGGATTTTTAGAGAGACTGGAAGGGAGGGAGGGAGGGAGAGACACACGCACACACACCGATTGGTTGCTTCCTGCACGCGCCCGTCTGGAGCCGCACGTCGAACCTGCAACCCTTCAGTGCTTGGTTGATGCTCTGACCACTGAGCTACCAGCCAGGACTGGTATATTGTAACTTTTAAAAGACTTCTGTTCTGAATATTTAAGCTCTTTCTTTTCTATTGATAATTGACAGTCTGTGCCTCTTTCATCTGCTCTTCGGTGCTGGGTGTGATTGGTCCCCTGGCACCTGCTGCCTGTGCCCTCCCTCGTCTTGTTCTCAGAAACCGGGTTCGCCTCCCCCATTGCCCACAGCCAGTACTCTTCTCGACTGCTGCTGGCTGTTCTGCTCGTTCCTGGTGCGGGGACTCGGCATCAGTCTCCACGCGCCATTCTTTTCCCTGGGTTTTCATAGTCGGATAGTATCTTGGTCCTTTCAGAAGGAAGTCCCATCTGTGTTACCTTCAACAATAAAGATAAAAAGTTAATAAAATAAAATAAAGCCCTCTGACTTTTATAAAAAATAGAAGTCCCCCATCTTCTCAATTTTCACTCACAAGACCAACATTATTTCATTTCTTGCTCTACTGATCCGTCACGTTTATAGGACTGCGTTTCTGTCAGTTCCCGACCTCGCTGTAGCCGTCCCCTGGAGCCCGTCCTCCTTTCATAGGCCTGGAGGGTGTCTCAGCATCAGCCTTCCTGATCCTCATCGTTTCAGCGCAGTTGTGTTAAACCTTAAGTCACCCATTTGAGCAGAGGTGACTCCTGCTCACAGGTCACAGGTGTCCAGACGTGGGGCAGCTCTAGGACGGCTGAGGGAGTGTCTCGGTGAACCAGCAAAAGCCCACCTGTCCCCTGCTGTTCCAGGCGTGGCAGCCCTTTTCTCCATGCTGCCCATGGCTGCTGGGTCCTTGCACACGTGCAGCTGTGCCAGGGCCAGTGGGGTAGGACAGGAAAACCTGTCTCAGGAAGCGCCAGCAGACTTCCTGTGTTCAGTAGGCTAGATGTTTATCACATACCCCTAAGAAGACTGGCTGGGCGAAGGGACACCCCTGTTGGCTCTGATAACTCAAGCTTCAGGGGGTTGGAGAGGGGTCACCATTACCCTCACTGACGCTAGGCTTGAAGCACAGGAAACAAATAAGTTTCTGCCAGCCAGGGAGCGGGAAGGAGACTGCCGGGCAGGCAGCACTGTGCATCCTGCGCAGCAAGCATCATCATCCACTTCTCCCCTCCATCTTCACACACATTCTGCCACCCTGCTTTCATTTTTGTGCTATATTAGCGAGAGTCTTTGCTCCCATTCAGACCTGGTGGTAGTTCTTTATGGTCTAGTGACCTATAATTAAAGTAAGTTACCCACATACAACCAGCCAGACAAATACCAACGGTGAGAGAGAAGTGCAGGGAGGAACAGCAGGGGCCTCTCCGTCTGGGGAGAGCAGCAGCAGTGGAGACCACGTCGCAGTCACCACGTAGGTTCCTCATGCCGTGAACCCCTGGTCAGACGAGCTGTGCCCAACTCCCTCTGTCCTGGTCAGCTCTCATTTCCGCATCCGAACTCCAGATGACCATGGGGCAGAATGCTTTTCTGTAGCTTCAGAATCTCAATTGTTAGGGTGCAAGTTAGTTTTGAGGGTTTACCTTCATACCATAGCCAATAATCATGTTTAATATAGTCTTTAATTATATTTGAATAATATTTAAATATATGAATTCCTGTCTTTTATTCACTGGCTCTTGTATCCTTTTCCGATTTCTTGAATTTTTTTAACTTTCCCTTGAAATTCCAACCATAATCTTATCTTTCTGCCACTATTGTTGCAAAGAGAATGCACCAAAGAAAATTCATTAGATTTTCTGGGAAGTAAGGAAAAGGAAGGATGGAATGGCACCAGCAACAGAAGGGTTGGAAGGAGAAAGTGTGGGAGCGGATGGTCAGCAAGGTTGAGTGTCCGTGAGCTCTGAAAACTTGCAGCAATAGCCCCCACATCCAGACCTGAGCAGTGCAGACTCCAGGGCAAAGGTTGTGCCTCACTGGTCTGTTTTCTTCTCGATGGAAACGTGTCATGTTAGGACCCTATTGTAACCAGTAACAGTCCCTTGCATACCATTGTGATACTCAAAAGTGCCCATATTCACTTATCCATGCAACCAGGGGCAGGCACTGCCCCATTTGGGAATTGATGTGGGAAGGTTGTGTGCAAAAGGAATAAGAGGGAACAGACCTAGGAGGCAGGGAAACTTGGAATGGGTTGTTAAGATCCTCTTGTATGCTGTCTGCAAACCTGACTTGCTGCTTTGTTCTCGTAATACCCTTTTCCATTTGTCTTGGTCAGCATATTTGGGACTCTAGATCAGCTCTACCCTTTCTCTTCTATCAGCCTCCAAACCTTTGTCATTGTGCCAGAGGCCTTAGTCCTGGGTCTTGTTCCCTATCTATTGTGTATCTTTGGCTTTTGGGATTTAAAAAAAATTTAATAGCATTCTTTCTTCCCACCCCCCTCTTTATTTGCTATTCCAAGAATATCACTTTTACCCTTTTTAGGTCTTCCTTATTGTATTTACCTCCATATATCTAAGTGACCAGGTTATTCTACTGCACCTTGATGATCAGTCAGTAAGGAAGGGTGGAGATTTAATTCTTCTACCCTGTGCCCATCATACGTTCTGTCTTCCTGTACCCCGTACCATCTTAACTTAATACTTTTGATTAGATCAGTCTTCAGTTTTCACATCTTTACAGCTGTCACTTCTGTTCACAGATAAATCATGGAAGTATACAGTAGTTAATTTTTGCTTATAAAATTTTTTTTCTCTTCAGTTGTTTTCTCAGCCCAATTGTCTCTGATCTTATAATTAATATAGTTATAAGTAATTCAAACTCAGACTCTTCTTCATGTGTCTAAATATTCTTTTGGTATATTCACCAAAACTAGTAATTCTGTCAATTTCATCTTCCCTAGAATAAACTAGTTTAACTCAAGACATGCCTGTACACTTTCTTTTTTTTAATCCTCACTCAATGATACTCTTCTGTTTATCTTCAGGTAGAGTGGGAGGGAGAGAGAGAAACATTGATGTGAGAGGGACAGATCAACTGGTTGTCTCCTACACGACCCTGACCAGGGTCGGGGACAAACCGCAACCAAGGTATGTGCCCTTTCTATATTCTATTCAATGTTTTTTCTTGGTTTGTTTTGTTGGAGCAACAGCCTCTTCCAGCAGCTTTCTGTGAAAGGTGCATTTGATATAAATTGCGAGACCTGTGCCTCTGAAATGTTTGTACTTCTGAATGTTCTCTTCTCTCGTGATGCTAAGGAGGCCGATGCCATAGTAAATTTTGATCCATTAAATGCATCTTGTGGGGTTTTATTTTGTTTTTTTCTAAATCTTCACTTGAGGACATGTTTTTATTGATTATAGAGAGAGGGGAGGGGAAAAGAGAGAGAGAGAGAGACATCCAGTGTGAGAGTGAAACATCTGTCAGGTGCCTCCTATGCCCACTGGGAATCAAACCAGCAACCTGAGTAAACACCCTGACCAGGAATCAAACCTGCGACCTTTCAGTGTATGAGACAACTCTCCAGCAAACTGAACCACAGCATCCAGGGCTTATTTTGTTTTTTACTTTTTTGTTTCCCTGGAAGCTTTTACTAGGATAGCTTTTTTCCTATCCTCAGCCATGGAACATCATGATGATGTTTCTTGTTTGTTTATTTTCATTTTTCTCTGGGTATTTATTGGAACTTTATTTCTGAGAGGACGGAAAGCTAATTTGCAATGTGTTTTGCTTTTTCTCCTGAGCTTTCTACTGTTTGGAACACACTGAGTATTCAACAGTTACTTATTAAATGATTCTAATGATTCAAGATTTCATCCATTCTCTTTATAGACTGCTTATTTTTTCTTTTGCCTTATTTGCCTTTTTTACCCATGATGCAAACCTTGTGAACTCAAAACAGTGTTTAATTATTGTCAGTTGCCTATCTATGCCTGTCTTTATGTTTAGTTTTGCTTTGTTTTCCCCAGTGCCCAGGAGTTTGTGGACATTTCCACTTCAGATTTTACTTATTTTCAGATGTGTTATCTAAAACAAAAACCTCATGACATGGCATTTTTAAGGCAATTTTATGATATACCAGGATCTTATTATTTATGACATATTTTTTATTTCTAGACAACGTCTGGGAAATTGATAATCACATGGAATGGTATCAGGAAAATCGAGGCAAGCCTGGAAGTGTGGCAAATTACTATGATTGTATTGGATTTGGAAACCTGTGTGTTCTTACTACAAATTATGTGTCTTCAAGACAGAAGCTTTATAAATTTGGCACACATGGGAAGAGTTTGAAATTTAATACAAACTTCGGTAGTAATTTTGGTGGAAAGAATCCCAGTGGGTTTTATGCACGAAGGGAATCATTCCTCCATGAACATGAACAAACTCTTTTTGGAATAAAATATTGTGAAAGTAATAAATCAGGAAATATTGTCCACAAGAAGTCACAACTCATGTGCCAACAAAGTTATGTGAGAGGAAAACCATTTCAGTGCAGTTACTGTGGGAAGGTCTTCAGCAGTAAATCACACCTTGTAGTGCATCAGCGAACTCATGCAGAGGAAAAGGTCTGCAAATGTGACGGACACCCCATTGAGCATCAGAGAAGTCATGCAGGAGAGAAATTACTTGAATGCAGTGAATGTGGGAAAACTTTCCTTGTCAGTTCACAGCTCCATATACATCAGAGCATTCACACAGGTGGGAATCCTTATGAATGCTGTGAATGTGGAAAAGTCTTCAGTAGGAAAGACCAGCTTGTTTCACACCAGAGAACTCATTCAGGACAGAAACCTTATGGTTGTAATGATTGTGGGAAAACTTTTGGGTTAAACTCACAGCTCATTGTACATCAAAGAATTCATACAGGAGAGAAACCCTATGAATGCAGTGACTGTCAGAAAGCCTTCAATACAAAGTCAAACCTTCTGGTACATCAGAGAACCCATACAGGGGAGAAACCCTATGGTTGTAGTGAGTGTGGGAAAGCCTTTACTTTCAAGTCTCAGCTCATTGTACATCAGGGGCTTCACACAGGAGTAAAGCCCTATGGGTGCATCCAGTGTGGGAAAGCTTTCAGTTTGAAGTCGCAGCTCATTGTGCACCAGAGAAGTCACATGGGAATGAAACCCTATGGATGCAATGAATGTGGAAAAGCTTTTAGGAGCAAGTCCTACCTCATTATACATATGAGGACTCATACAGGAGAGAAAGTTCATGAATGCAGTGAATGTGGGAAATCCTTCAGTTTTCATTCACAACTCATTATACATCAGAGGATTCACACAGGAGAGAGCCCGTATGAATGCCGGGAATGTGGGAAAGCCTTCAGTCGTAAGTATCAGCTCATTTCACACCAGAGAACTCATGCAGGGGAGAAGCCCTATGAATGCAATGACTGTGGAAAAACTTTTGGTTTGAAGTCACAGCTCATTATACATCAAAGAATTCATACAGGAGAGAAACCCTATGAATGCAGTGAATGTCAGAAAGCCTTTAATACAAAGTCAAACCTTCTGGTACATCAGAGAACCCATACAGGGGAGAAACCCTATGGTTGCAGGGAATGTGGGAAAGCCTTTACTTTCAAGTCACAGCTCATTGTACACCAGGGAACACACACTGGGGTAAAACCCTATGGATGTAACCAGTGTGGGAAAGCTTTCAGTTTGAAGTCGCAGCTCATTGTGCACCAGAGAAGTCACACAGGTGTGAAACCCTATGGATGCAGTGAATGTGGGAAAGCTTTCAGGAGCAAGTCCTACCTCATTATACACATGAGGACTCATACAGGAGAGAAACCACATGAATGTAATGAATGTGGGAAATCCTTCAGTTTCAATTCACAACTCATTGTACACCAGAGAATTCACACAGGAGAAAATCCCTATGAATGCAGTGCATGTGGGAAAGCTTTTAATAGGAAAGATCAGCTCATTTCACATCAGAGAACTCATGCGGGGGAAAAACCTTATCGGTGCAGTGAATGTGGGAAAGCCTTTAGTAGCAAGTCATACCTCATTATACACATGAGAACTCATTCAGGAGAAAAACCATATGAATGTAATAAATGTGGGAAAGCCTTCATTTGGAAGTCACTACTCATTGTACATGAACGAACTCATGCAGGGGAAAACCCTTATAAATGCAGTCAATGTGAGAAATCCTTCAGTGGAAAATTACGGCTTATTGTACATCAGAGAATGCACACAAAAGAGAAACCCTATGAATGCAGTGAATGTGAAAAAGCCTTCATTAGGAAATCTCAGCTCATTGTACATCAGAGGACTCATTCAGGGGAGAAACCCTATGGATGTGATGAATGTGGAAAAGCCTTCTCTCAGAAATCAATTCTCAGTGCACATCAGAGGACTCATACTGGGGAGAAACCCTGTAAATGCACTGAATGTGGGAAAGCTTTCTGTTGGAAGTCACAGCTCATTATGCATCAGAGAATTCATGCAGATGAGAGACATATTGATGAACTAAAAGTAAGAAACTTTTGCTCTAAAGTTAGTTCACAAAAAATACATGTAGAAGCAAATTCGTGTAGAAGAGAAACACTATAAATGAAATCATCCCATACACCAGAAAACTCATTGAATGGAAACCTTAAGAAAGGCACAGCATGTGGAAGGGTATCCGTAGAAAGCAGTTTTTATACATGAAATACATAATGCTTGCCCAAAGGAACTCTACGAATGTGGTGAACCCTATGAAACGTCAGCTGTAAGTCATACCTTTAAACAAATTTATGCAGGTGAAGAACCATATGAATGGAATGAATGTTGGAAATCTTTTAAATGTTATAAAATTCTCAAAGAGAAAATCTACAAGTTAATATAGAGTACACCTCTTTGAAACTCATAGTTTATTAAACACTAGGGTAGTTTTTTAATGGTTTACTGCTTTTTGTTAGATTGAGGAATAGGGATCGAGCCTAAAACCCAGGCATGTGCTGACCAGGAATCTAGCCTGCAAGCTCTTGGTGCATTGAGCGACAGTTATCCACTGAGCCACAGCAGCTGGCCTGAACACTAGGATTTTAATGACAGCAAAGTTCTATACATTGCAATATTCTTAATGAATGCAACTTTTTTAGTACAATAAAGTGACTTATTAAAAATACATTTTAACAATAGAAACCATTTATATTTATTCCCTTTATTTATTTTTTTATTCCTCACCCGAGGATACTTTTCCGCCTATTGTCAGAGTGGGAAGGAGGGAGAGAGAGAGAGAAAGAGAGAGACAGAAACCGATGTGACAGAGCCTGGTTGCCTCCTGCATAAACCGACCAGAGCTGGGGACAAACACAACTGAGGTAGTTGCCCCTGACCATAATCGAACCCACTAATTCATCCACGGGCTGACACTCCAACCACTGAGCTAAACTGGCCAGGGCTTTTGTTCCCTTTATAAGTGGGCCTGGCAGCTACCTCTTTAGCTGTATACTTCAATGTGATGTAAATTTTCAACTAGTTAGAATATCCTATGTCTTTAAGATTCATAATTCCTCACAGTGTATGGTTATCATTCAAGGTTCCCTACCAAGGAGTTGGCCTTATCACCAAAGTAGGCTGAAGGACTTCAGACTTTAATTTTTTTATCCTCACCCGAGGACCTTTTTCCTTTTTTTTTTTTTTTTTGTTGTTGTTGTTCAGACAGAGTGGGAGGGAGAGAGAGAGAAACATCAATGCGAAAGGGACACATCGAGTGGCTGCCACCCGCACGACCAACCAGGGCCAGGGTACGTGCAACCGAGGTACGTGCCCCTAGCGGGAACCAAACCTGGGTCTCTCTGGACTGTAATTTGATGCTATAATTGCTGAGCCAAACTGGCCAGGGCAGACTTTAAATTTTTAATGGACTCCTTAACTGCAGAAAAGCAAACAGGCTTTGTTCTCGGGTAACATCTTGCAATAATTTCCCTCTATATCCATTACATAGTACCTTCGTCCCTTGCCACTTTCACATAGTTCTTCGACGTTCGTGGCTTCCCTATATTGTGGTTTTTTAAAATACTGTATTAGAGCCCCAATCTAGTGAAGCTGTGAATGTCGAAGCGTGAAGTGGCGAGGGACAACTGTGTATAAAGAATCCGTACTTTGTGGCAGAGTCTGGAACTGCTTAACCACGATAAACGAGAGCCGACTGTAGCTTTTGCTATCATTTTTAGCTCTAGTTTACTCATCTTTAGCTATATGGTCTTTAAATGATGCTGAAACGTACATACAGTTTTAGAGCCAGGGTGTTGGGAATTATTCTATCAGTAGCTTTAGCAAGTCTGTTTCCTTCACAACTTCACCAGTTTCTCTCTCTTTTTTTTTTTTTATCCTCACCCGAGGACATTTTTCCATTTTTTGTACAGATAGAGTGGGAGGGAGAGAGAGGGAAACATCGATGTGAAAGGGACACATCGAGTGGCCGCCACCCGCACGACCCAACCAGGGCCGGGGACAAACTGCAACCGAGGTACGTGCCCTTAGCGGGAACCGAACCCGGGTCTCTCCGGACCGCAGGCGGACGCTCCAACCGCTGAGCCAAACCGGCCAGGGCTTCACCAGTTTCTTTATGTGAACAAGCAGCAATATGAAAGAACTGGGTCCTTGGCAATTAGATTAGGACTCGAATAGTATATTTCTGAAAAAACCACAATAGAGTGAAGCAGCAAAAGTCAAAGCGGGAAGTGGTGAGGGATGACTGAATATGTATTTTATCATTGATGTTCCAATAAAGATACTCGCACAGTGAGAATAAGCACAATACGGGAAAGTCTACCACTGCCCGTATTGTGTGGTGCAAATCCACATGCAACCCTGAAGATAGTAGTCAAATACTGTGGGAGAGGATAGTGATGGGTTTGTTTTCATCTTAAAAGCAATGGAAAACATCAGATAAAGGAAACTTAAGAGAAATTAATAGGTGTACCAGTGAACAAAGTTGAATTTCAATGAAAAATTGAATCTGGTGTGAGACTACCTGGTCCTTCAAACCTTGCCCCATCCCCAGAAGAGAAACAGGTTTCAGAGACTTCAGTAACAGTTGATAATTTTCAGAAAACTTCCAGGAAAGATAATACCAACATTTTACAGTATTTTCCATTAAATAGGGCGGGGTGGGGTGGAGGGGAATGCATTGTATTTATAAACATAGATTTAAAAGTCCCAAATGGAACTAGAGCAAAATGCATGTAATCATGCATATATTTAAAAAACCATGACATTAAGTGTAGCAGACTAGTAGTAGTAAGTCCAGTGTCCCTTATAAGTGTAGCAGACTAGTAGTAGTAAGTCCATTGTCCCTTAGTTACCAACAAAATCACTGGGTTTTTCCTAATGGCAGTTGTGGGCTGCTAAAAAGCTACATCTCAATTCTTTGCAGTTAAGCATAATCATACTGCTAAACTGTGAGTAATGATACAGAAATATAAGTTGCTAAGAGGGTGTAACGACAGGTTCTTCCAAAGGAAAACAAACACCTGGGAAAAGCCCTCTAGTGACCTTTCATCTTTCCTCTTCAATATGCAACACATAGTTGGGGTGTCAGCAGCCATCCTGGAACCTGAATTCATCTCGCCTGAATTCATGTGATAAAGGTGGAGCTACTATGGCCATTCTAGACTGCCAACATCTGGGTATGTTTTGCAAGGAAAAGAAATGAACTACGCTTTTTCAGGTACCTTTTGAAGGAGTGGGGTTGTAGAAGAGCTGATTCTGTTACATGCAGTTGAATCTGATTGTAACTGAAACACATTAAGATGTTTGTAAGACAGTCATTTCATAAAAATAACCACACTACCAGATAAAAGCCTATGATTACCTCAATATGTGTAGGTAAGTCATTTGATGGAATTTAAGGCCCCTAGATATTTTTAAATATTAAAAAATTTTCTTTATTGATTTGAGAGAGGAAGGGAGTGGGAGAGAGAGAACACTGATAGACTGCCTCCACATGCAGGAGGCAGCCAATTGATGACCTCGTGGTGACCAGCCAGGCAATATTTTTAAATATTAAATTGGGACTAGAAAGAAATCCTTTAACCCCTTCAAGAAGTGTGTTCCCAAAAATGACTACTGACAGAATTAATAGTTAAACAACAGACATGTACCTTTAAGAAAATTACAAGGACGTTCATCACTTTTATGGAATAGTGCAGTGTACATTCTAGCCAAGGTGTGAAAGCAAAGTCATAAGGAATTGTGGAGTAGAGCAGAAGGAAAATTTGTAATTTTCACCAATTAGTTGTTTTCTGGTTAAACAAATTGGATAAGCTACAAATTTAGGAAAGGACACAAAGAAACCCAAATGAACAAAACACTAGAAATTAAGGAATATTTTATATAAGAAAAGAGTTGCTGCTCTTGGCACAACTGCAGAAAGAGGAGAGAGGTCCTGCAGTCGGGAGTCTTCACAGACCACAGCTGCCTCTGGACTGGCCTGACGGCTTAGAGAACCGCACTGCAGAGCAGTTTCCAGCCAGCTCTCCCATGCACCGCATGGAACTCTTACAGATCGTATGACAGGTGTGATGTTGGCAGAAAAAGCTAAAAATAAAAGATTTTCTGAGATGCCCAGCTCCTCTGATAAGTGCAAGGCAGACACTACACAAATTAGAAGAAATCAGGACTGTGGATAATGCAACAATTGAATCCAATAGATGCAGTCTGTACCTTTAGGCTGAGGGATGTGTAAAGAGCTTAGAGAACACACCATCTCTTTCCTGCCAACCCCCACATAGATGAAAACCACCTCGAGGTACTTTGGGCTTCGTTCTACAAAACGTGGGAAAGGTTCAGGAGAGCTGAGACAGACACCTCCAATGCATTGTAGGCTGGGAGCTCAGAAGTCAGAAGTGGGAAGCGAAGGAACCTTAGCATCTCAGAAAGCTGGCTGCTGGGTTGTGAGCTCAAGGAGATCTCTAATATTTCCAGGTTCAGATCCCAGGGCCTGCTGAGGGAAACATCCTGATCCTGCCCTGACAATCGTTGAAAGAAGTTGTGCACTGACCCTAACCTAAAACTGCAACGAAGTCCATGCCAACTCAAATGCAGGTCAGGCTGACTCAGTCTCACCCAACCTCCCAATTTAACAGCTGACATTTGAAAATATGTACTGCCCTGGCCAGTTTGGCTCAGTGGTTGGAGCGTTGTAATGCGGTCCAGAGAAAATATGTACCCTTTCCTGGAAATATATACCCAGGTCAAAGGAAATGATCATGAATAGAGATGGAATATAATTATAAGAGAATTATTTCACCAAAAATACACTCCTAAGTATATATGCTCTTAACAATGAATTTTCAAAATAATGTAAATTAATGCAAAGTAGATCTGAAAGAAATAATCTATCACTTATTTGTAAATAACTTGGAGAGCAAATTAGAAGAAATCAATAATGCCATCCACAAAGTGCAGCTAAGACATTTCTAGAACATCCAACCACAGCATACACAGTCTTTTTCATTGCACACGAAGCATTCACTAATACATATGTGCTATATCCTGGGTCATAAACCTTTTTAAAAAAAATAAACAAAAACGTGTTGAGTCTATAATGCAAATTAACAAGAAACTAATAGCAAAAACAACAGATTTCAATACTTGGAAGTTAACACAATTCCAAGTAATACATGGGCCAGAAATTTAAAGAAAATATTTTTAACTGAACAAAAAAATACAACATAACATTTTTGAGATGCAGAAAATGCCATGCTCAGAGTGAAAGTTGTAGCATTAGGTATTTAAAAAGAATAAAGGTCTCACATCACTAATCTAAACTTCTAGCGTAGAAACTAGAAAAAAGAGTAAGATAAACCCAGAGTAAACAAACATAAAGATAAGACCAGAAGCCAATGAAGTAAACAACAACAATAAGAAAAAAACCCCAGAAGGGAATATTATAAAAACACTAAACACATATATTTGACAAAGTTGATGAGATGGACTAAATTCTTTAAAAATAAACTTACCAGAGTTCACTCAAGGGGAGAATACCATCAGAAGAATGTCAAGAAGAAGTGGTTAGCCTGATTAGCTCTACACCTATTAAATTCATAGTATTCAAAGCCTTCCAACAATAAAAAAAAATACAGGCTCAGGTCACTTCACTGTGAATTCTACCAAACATTTAAGAAAAAATACCAATTCTGTACAAAGTCTTCCAGAACATAGATGGTGAGGAATATGCCTTAACTTTTTTTTTTAGGTCAGCCTTGCACAAATAATGCCAAAGGTGTAAAAAAACAACATCCGGTCAAGATGGTGAGTAGGTAAACGTGGTGTCACGTCCTCCCACAACCACATCAAAGTTACAACTAAACTGCACAATCATCATTCAGGACCGCCTGAAATCGCGCTGAATGGAAGTCCTACAACTACGGAATTAAAGAAGCAGCCGCATCGAGACTGGTAAGAGGGTGGAGGGGACGGGCTGGTCCCACACCCATGTGTGGTGAATAAAAATCAGGAGGAAGGTCCTCTCTGAGGACTGAGGGGTCCCCGTCCCACACCAGGCACCCCGCTCAGGGTTCCAGTGCCAGAAACAGAAGCCCCATAACTTCTGGCTGGAAAAACCAGCAGGAACTGAGGCTCAGGAAGGCTAAGGCTGGAGCCCCAGGCAGCTCCTTAAATGGCCCGCTCACGGACTTATCGGATTCACTCCCTCTTATTTTGGAGGGGAGGCAGCTCGAGGGGCGCCAGAGACATATAGGGAAGAACTGAGCTGTTTGGCATTGGAGCAAGGGCTGAAGAGGGAGCTTTCTCCGGGACAAACGTGCTGTCAAGCCTTTGTTCCTTTGGTGAGCCCTTCCCTGGGGTGGCAGACAGCTGCCATATCTGGGACTTCAGCAACCTGGCTCCCACTGTGGGCTCCCGCCCTGGTGATTCCCTGAAGCCCCGCCCCACCCAGCTTTCAGGCCCACCCAAGCTGTTGCCAGTTGCTTAACCATAGGATTGGCCTGTCTTGGATCCTGCTTCAGGTTTTCCTAAATTCTTTCAAACAAGCAGCATCTGGCCCTGGCCTGTTTGGCTCAGCGGTTAGAGCGTCGACCTGCGGTCCAGAGAGACCTGGGTTTGGTTCCCGCTAAGGGCACGTGCCTCGGTAGTGGTTTATCCCCGGCCCTGGTTGGTTGTACGGGTGGCAGCCACTCGATGTGTCCCTTTCATGTCGATGTTTTTCTCTCTCTCTCTTTCTCTCTCTCTCTCCCTCCCACTCTATCTGAGCAAAAAATGGAAGAATGTCCTCAGGTGAGGCGAAAAAAAACCCAAAAAACAAGCAGCATCTGGTCTCAGCTAGCTCCATACCACTCGTTAAGTAATACATAGAAACAAACACAGGGAGGCGGCCAAAATGAGGAGACAAAGAAACAGGTCCCAAATGAAAGAACAGAAAAAATCTCCAGGAAAAGAACTAAGCGAAATGGAGATATGGAGATAAGCAACCTAACAGATGCTGAGTTCAAAATACTGCTTATAAAGATGCTCAGTGAACTTAATGAGAACCTCAGCGAGCTTAGTGACGGCCTCAAGAGCATAAAAAAGGACCAGTCAGAAATGAAGAAGGCACTCACTGAAATAAAGAATACTTTACACAGATTCAATAGTAGAGTACGTAAATCCAAGAAGCAAACCATCGATTTGGATTCTAAGGAAGCAAAAAACACCCAGTCACACAGATTCAATAGTAGAGTACGTAAATCCAAGAAGCAAACCATCGATTTGGAATCTAAGGAAGCAAAAAAACACCCAGTCACACAGATTCAATAGTAGAGTACGTAAATCCAAGAAGCAAACCATTGATTTGGAATCTAAGGAAGCAAAAAAATACCCAGTCAAAACAGCAAAAAGAAAAAAGAATTTTAAAAACCAGTGAAACAGCAAAAAGAAAAAAGAATTTAAAAAAATGAGGATAGTGTAAGGAGCCTCTGGGACAACTTCAAGCGTGCCAACATTCGCATCTTGGGGGGTCCCAGAAGGAGAAGAGAGAGAACAAGAAATCAAAAACCTATTTGAAACAATAATGGCAGAAAACTTCCCTAACTTGGTGAAGGAAACAGACATACAAGTCCAGGAAGCACAGAGACTCCCAAACAAGATGAACCCCAAGAGGCCCACACCAAGACACATCATCAGCAAAATGCAAAAGGTTCAAGACAAAGAGAGAATCTTAAAAGCAGCAAGAGAAAAGTAGATAATTACCTACAAGGGAGTTCCCATAAGACTGTCAGCTGATTTCTCAAAAGAAACTTTGCAGGCCAGAAGGGAGTGGCAAGAAATATTCAGAGTGATGAAAAGCAAGAACCTACAACCAAGATTACTCTATCCTGCAAAGCTGTCATTTGGAATAGATGGCCATGTAAAGACTTTCCCAGATAAGAAAAAGTTAAAGGAGTTCATCACCACCAAACCGTTATTATATGAAATGTTGAAGGGTCTTTTTGAAGAAAAAGATAAAATATCTGAGCAAACAAAATGACAATGAATACATATCTATCGACAATTGAATCTACAAACAAAATGAAGAGGCAGAACAGAAACACTTTCATAGATACAGAGAACATTGTGTTGGTTGCCAGATGGGAGGGGGGTTGGGGGAATGGATGAAAAAGGTGAAGGGATTAAGAAGTACAAATTGGTTGCTAGACTGACAAACCTCAAAGGGAAAGGGGTTGGGGGGGTGGGAAGAAATAAACCAAAAAACTTATATGTAACCAATGGACACAGACAGCAGTGTGGGAAAAGACGGGAGGGGGGCGGGAGTGTGGAGGAGAGGGGGTCAATGGGGGAACAATGAGGAACATCTGTAATACATTCAACAATAAAGATAAAAAACAAAAAACAAAAACAAAAACAACCAAACAAATAAAACAACAACAAAACAAATGTTGGTCATTAACATGGAAGAAAAAAAATCCTTCACAAAATACTAGTTACTTTAATCAGCAATTTATAAAAAGGGCAATACATTAAGGCAAATGGGAGTTCACCTTGGGACACAAAGCCGAGGCTGATTCAATATTCAAAATCCATTCACCATAATTCATACAGACCAACTTAAAAATAAAGCTATATGATGATCACAGTAGGTGTAAAAGCATTTGTTTACATTCTACAGCATTCATGATAACCTCAGCAAACTAGGAATAGGAGGTTGCTTCCTCAAACTAGTAAAGCACGCCCAAAAATGTCTTCAGTTAACATCATGAATATGAATAAGCAGTGTTATAATCCACCCTTACCACTTGAATTCTGGAAGACCTAGCTGGTTCCATAAAGCACAAAAAAGGAAAAGGCTACAGATGGGAAAGGAAGAAAGATTATTTTTGTCTATTCAGAGATATGATTGCCTTCATTTTCAAAATCCTTTTAAAAACTTTTCCAAAAACCCCTCACCTGAACAAGTCAGATTTCAAGGCAGAAAAATGTAAAATCAGTATTCCAAAAGCAGTTGTATTTGTTTGTCCTTGCAATGTACAACTGCAAATTTGGATTCAAATGCATTATTATTATGACAGCACCCAAAAAACATAAATTACTTAGGTATAAATTGAAATACATGCAAGAACCATAAAACAGTAACAAAGGTAATAATAACCTAAAGACCTGGAATATATGCCATATTAATGGATCAGATGATTCAATGTTGTGAAAGTGTCAGTGTTTTCCTACTTGATTTAAATATTCAGTGTCATTCCAATTACAATCCCAGAAAGATTTTATGTAAAAACTGACAAGCTGAACCTGAAACTTAAGTGGATGGCAAACCTGTTGAAATCATCATAATTTTAAGACAGAAAAACAAAGTTGCAAGACATATCCTATTTTATTTGAAGACCTAGCATTACAGTAGCCAAGACAGTGTGAAATTTGTGAAAGGTCAGAGGTATAGTGTAGTGAGTCTTGAGGAAAAGTAAACACTAGAGTCCATTGATTTTTGGCAAGTAGCCAACATGATTCTCTGGAGGTAGGAAAAGTCTTTCCAAAACACTGGCCCTAGAACACTTGCACATCTGCATGAAAAATATATGAGTCTTGCTCTGGCTGGTTTGGCTCAGCAGTTAGAGTGTCGGCCGGAGGTCCAGAGAGACCCGGGTTCGGTTCCCACCAGGGGCACGTACCTTGGTTGCAGTTTGTCCCTGGCCCCAGTTGGGGTCATGAGGGTGGCAACCAGTTAATGTGTCTCTCTCACATCCATGTTTCTCTGTCTTCCTCCCTCTCTCCCTCCTGTTCTATGTGAGGATAAATGCAAAAATGTCCTCAGGTGAGGTTAAAATATATATATATATGAGTCTTGCTCTATACTTACACCACATAAAAAAATTAACTTTCTGAGGAATATATCAGAGGTTGAGCTCCATGCAGATAATGAGATGATGGTGTGTATTTAATATAATTTCATATCTAAGGCTAAAGGGTTGAGCAAGGGTGTAGGAATACTATATAAATATATTTTTGATAAAGTAGGAAGAATGTGAATGAGCATGGGAAGAGGAGAGAAACTTGGGAAAGCAATGTTATTGATATTAGGAGGAAACCAAAGGGTACCACTTCCACTGATAGGCTGCTATTAAAATTGGAGAAAAATGGGATTCAGAGCATGAAAGGATGCTCCAACCAACTGAGCCACCTGGCCAGGGCCTAATAACCTTTCTTCTGTTTTTTTTTTTAAAGTTTTATTGATTTTTTAGTGAGAGAGGAAGGGAAAGGGAGAGAAAGAAAGAGATAAATATCCATTGGCTACCTCCTGCACGCACCATACTGGGGATCAAGCCTGGTACAGGATGGTCATGTGCCCTTGACCGGATGGAATCCCGACCTGTTGATGGGGCTGGACAACGTACAACCGAGTCACAACCAACTGAGCCAATAACCTTTTCATTTTCTTCTTCTTTTAATCCTCACCCAAGGATTTTAAATAGATTTTTGGAGGGAGGGAGAAACATTCATGATCACCAGGGTCGCGGATGACAGGTAGGTGCCCTTGACGGGGAATTGAACTCCAACTCTGGTCGGTGTGCCGACACTCTAGCCGTTGAGCCAAACGGCCATGGCCTGATAACCTTTGTTAAGTGTGATTATTTAGCAAAGCTTCCTCCACCTGCTTGGATTGTGTCCATATTTTTCACTTAAACAAACGCTGAAATGTTTCTCTTTGTGCATAAGCTTGGAAGTCAGAGAATTTTTTTTCTTTCTAGTAAGACCTTGACCGCCCTTGAGGAACCAACTTGCAGTCTTGGTCTCTTACTTCTAGAGCACCATCCCGCGTGCCGGGCGGCACGACAGCTCACAAAATGTGAACTGCACCGAGGACCGTCTGAGCAGGATGCTGGCACTCCTCGGTTCTCCCGTCTGGACCAGGGTCAGCGAGAGCCCGGGCACCCCAGGCCCTCCTCTCCGGTGAAGATGTCCTCAAAGCGCACTGCCGGACGTTTGGGGTCACACGGAGGTCGGCCAGGGTTTGGGAGTCGGGGTCCCTGGGGGCTCTCCAGCGTGTGCCCCTCAGCCCTGCGATTCCGAAGGGGCCTCTGCTCCCACCACGTGTTCTTGGGCTTTGGATTTGAAAGGTGTGGTCACCCCGCGGTGCCAGGGAGTGGGTGCGGGTCGCGGAAGGCACGTGAGCAGGGGGTTCATCCCAAGCTCGTCCCGGCTGGTCTTGGCTCCGTGGTCTACCAGGGCTGTTGGGCTGGGGTCAACCGAGGGTCACCGATTCCTCCTGCCCCGCCTCAGGGCAGTGGGAGTGGTGGCGCCCTGTCCCCCCTGCAGCCCACCGCCCCCGGACTCGCCTGCTCTGTCCAGGGACTAAGGACTCGCAGAGCCAGGCTTGATGGCACCTCCGAACCCCAGAACCTCTCTGCGCACCCCGGACTGTATGGACCCAGGGCACGGGGGCGCAGGGACACCGATCCGGGTACTGGGGTTGGACCGGGCCCTCGCCCGGATTGGCTGGGGCCTCGATACTTTGTAGCGACTGCACCTTCCGCGCTGCCGGGCCGCAGACTCCGCGGCGCCTCCTCCCAGGAGGTTCAGGCGGAGCACGTGCGCGCCGGCAGCGCGGAAGTGGGGGTGGGGGCGGGGGACCCCCGCAGCTCATAAGCGGATCCGGTGGGCAGGACTCGAGGCCTCAGCCGGGAGCAGCGCGCCCAAAGGTACTGGGCTTCGGTCAGGGCCTGGGGGTGGAGGGGTCAGGCCTCCCGACGAACAACCTGCCCCCCTGCCGTCCCCTCGGTCTCTGCCCAGGGCCAGGTTCCCTCAGTGTCGGGGGCTCCGTCCGCATGAGCCCAGCCCTTAGACTCCTGCCCACCTCTCCTGGGCAGGACGGGTCAGCGCTGGAAGAAACTCGGGTCCTGAGCTGAGCTCTCCCGCTTCCGCCCCCTTGGGGCTCAGGGCCTCCTGCCCAGCGCGAAGGGGAGAACTGCGGCCCGGAGCCCGCGTGCTGGGGTCCCCACTCTGCGACCTTTGCAGGTGACCTCAGGTCCCGCAGTCATGTCCTTCCTCGGGGACAGTACTGACATGCGGGAGCCAGAGGCACAGCATTGGTGGTCACAGGGAGGCCCAGCGGGGGAATCCGTTGTGTAGGGTTTTTTTTTTTTAATCGTGTGACTAGGGCAACTTTTAACATATTTTTTCTTTATTGGTTATTTTAGAGGGAGAGGGAGGGAGAGAGAGAGAGAAGCATCGATGAGAGAGAACATTGGTGGCCGCCTCCTGCACCCCCCCACTGGGGATCAGTCCCACCCACAGCTGGGCATGTGTCCTGACCGGAATTGAACCAGTGGCCTCTTGGTGCAGGGTCCACGTTCAACCACTGAGCCACACCAGCCGGGCAAAATCTTCATGGTTCTCAAATGATAAGTTTGCATTTTTTCTCCCAAAATCAAAATAGTTAAGACCAGAGGGTAGTAGTCCTGAGGCTGCAGACCCGGCTCCTCTTGCAGGATGTGAGTGGCATCTGCCCAGCCCCCGGCCCAGCGCTTGCTGGGGAGTCTGATGACCCGACACACGTGGTCCTGCCCCCACTGAGCCCAGAGGAGTGAAACAAAATGTAATTACCACGTGTGTAAGGACAGGTGGAAACAGTAGGGTTAGAGGGGGGCCTGTGGGGCACGGGGGAGTACGAGAATGGTTCAGAGGAGTGAAGGACATCACACAGCACAGTCTGGGTGCACAGCCCAGGGCTAAACGATTTGGACGGAACGCACATAGCATGGGTATCTGGTCCATTGCCTCTTCTCAGGTAACCTCTCAGTACTACCTTACGAGTGCCTGTGGCAGGAGGGGCCTCTCAGAGTTGGTCTGGGGATGGCACTGGTCATTGTCATGACTGTCACCTTGTGTGCAGAGGGGCACAACTCAACAGTATGCAGAGTTTCCTGAAGCTGCTGCGGGAGAGTGGAGGCACCAACCCACCCTTGGAGGAGCTGGTGACCCTCGCTGGGAGGCTGTGCCGGGACCTCCAGGATGACCTCACCCAGGTGCAGCCCTTGGTCACAGCTGTGCTGGAGAGCCAGCTGCGCCTGTACCTCCTGGACAACGAGGACGTGGCCCTGGTGTGTGCCCGTGTGCTGGCCCAGCAGGAGCAGCACCAGGCCGCCTGCCGACTCTTGGAGGTAGGACTGATGGGGCAGGGAGCAGAGAGGGAGGCGGCTGCCCCCAGCATCCTGAACAAGATGGAAAGCCCACAAGTCAGCAAGAGCCTGGGGAGCGGCGCTGTAACCGAGCCAAGATGGGTCCCTCTTACTTTGTTAAGTTCTAAATATCTTGGTAGTCAGAAAAAAGGATCCATTTATCAAATCTGTATTGAGTGGGGATCCTGGCTTGGAGGGTTGGCATACCAACCAATGAGTCCAACAGTCAAAGAGACCCAGGATCTCAGGCCCTTAGCCAAAGGTCCAGACTGCAGAACTCTGAAACCAGAAATTTCTTTGCCACTCATCTGGAGGTACTGAGAACCTCAACCCATTGGCATGAAAACCTGACCTGCGTGATGTAAAGGAATTTATGGTCTTTATTTATCCACTTACTGTGACAGTGGTATATTTTGTTGCCTAAATATTGACACTTTTGAACTCAGAATACTGCCTGCCACAGACTACATGGGGTGGTACACATGACATGCTCAATGCCTGTGTTACTTCCTAAAATCGGAGAAATTCTGAGTTCCAAAATACAAGGTGCTCAGAGGGTTTCAGTCAGGGGTTTGAGGGCCTGTCTTTCCCTGTCTTAGAACATATTACAGCCCATGCATAATTCATACTGATTTTGCCGTAAAGTTACCCAGCTCTTCCAAGTTCTTTGTATTTCCACTCCCACCCCTCCAAGCCATGAGGTGTCCTCCAGCCCCTCCGTCGGCCTTCACACAGTAGCTGGAGGAAGTTGCAGAACTGCAGATGTACCATGTGTGCACCAGGGCAGTGGCCCCCAAGCCCGGGATCTGAGCTCGCCTGCTCTCCAGGCTCATCTCCACACTCTCCCCACTTCTCCACAACGCCCATGCTGCTTCCTTCTGTTCCTAGAATTCCCCAGATGTGTCTTTGTCCCAGGACCTGTGCACATCCATTCCCTCTTCATGAGGCTGTTGCCTTCCCACCTTTCTGGTTTCTGCTCTAAATGTTGCCCCTTCTAAGTAGTGCCCTATTATCCTCAAGTTCAGCCCTGCATTCTACCCTCAAATCCCTTCTTCCAGTTGTGATTAGAATCCTACTATTGGTCAGTTTGAGCTTCCTCTGCCCCCCCTTGTTGCACCGTGAGCTCCATGAAGGAAGGGGTCACTCCTTTCTCACTGAAGGATCAATGACAGCTGCGACATAGGAGAGGCTCTGTGTTTAAAATCTGTCCAAACAAACAGGTGAAGTAAGGAAACAAGGGAACGCAGTTGAGGTGCAGTAACGCAGTTGAAGGCGTTAATGATGAAACGTGTGAATGACACCGTGAGGACAAACTCTCTGGACAGGAATTGTAAGTTCTGTGAGGAGGTGATGTGTAGCGGTGACCTGAATGGTAACGATGGAGCCACCGCAGTTTCCAGCCCAGAGCCATGTCCTGTAGGCGGGGGGTCCTGTGGGCTCACTGACTGTTGTGCCAGAGGCTGACGGCTGGTCCTGGCAGGAGACTGCAAGTCACAGTCCAGCCAACATGGGCTTTTTCTTTCTTTCTTTTTTTTTAATGATTTTTTTTTTTTAGAAAGAGGGGAAGGGAAAGAGAGAGTAACATTGATGAGAGAGAAAATTGATAGGCTGTCTCCTGCTCGCCCCCTACTGGGGATCCAGCCTGCAACCCTGGCATGTGCCCTGACGAGGAATTGAACAGGGACTCTCAGTTATGGGACGACGCTCAGTCTACTGAGCCACACTGGCCGGGCATCATGGGCTTTTTCTAATTCTCAGTACCTTCCTCACCAAGATGGTCCTGAGAACACTGGCATTAAAGGCAAGAAATACACACACTGACCGTGGTGTCTGGGGAAGGCCAGTACCAGTGTCCTTGGCCACCTTCAAAGTCCAGTTATTAAACAAGTCACACAGGGTGTAGACCAGGACCCTTCATCGCATGTGCCTCAGAACATGCTCGCTGAGGACCGAGGAGCCAGCCCTGCTGGGGGCAGAGAAAAAAGTCTTTTAGATAAGACATGAGTCAAGCCCTGGCCGGTTTGGCTCAGCGATTAGAGCGTCGGCCTGCGTTCCAGAGAGATCTGGGTTTGGTTCGGTACCTTGGTTCCAGTTTGTCCCCGGCCCTGGTTGGTCATGTGGGTGGCAGCCACTCGATGTGTCTCTTTCACATCGATGTTTTTCTCTCTCTCTCTCTCTTCTCTCTCCCTCCCAGTCTGTCTGAACAAAAAATGGAAAAATGTCCTCGGGTGAGGGAAAAAAAAAAAAAAAGATGTGGGTCAAGCTTTGGAACCTCCAAAGTGACAGTGTGGGCCCGGCCAGTTTGGCTCAGTGTTTAGAGCATTGGTCTGTGGACCAATGAGTTGCAGGTTCGATTCTGGTCAAGGGCACGGACCTCGGTTGTGGACCTTGGTCAGGTCATGCGGGAGGCAACCAGTCGGTGTGTCTCACATGGATGTCTGTCTCTCCCTCTCTCGTTCTCTCTCCTTCTCTCTCCCTCCCTCTCACTCTATCTGATGATAAATAGAAAAATATTCTCAGGTGAGGAATTTTTAAAAAATGACAATGTGTTTCCAGCATGGCTCTGCCTCTTGTGTAGCTGTCGGCCAGTCATCTATCTGCCCTTTGCCTCATGCCCCTCACCTGTAAGGATTGACTGAAGCTGTGATCACCTTGTGCGATTTGTGGGAGGGTTGAAGTGCTGACATGAATGGGTGGCCAGCTGGGCCAGCAGGGACAGAGCACTGGACCTGGTGGGGGTCAGCGCACTGGCCATCTGGTCACACCCTTGCTGCTGGGCACATCTGTGAGCAGCTCTTTCCAGGGGTCAGGTGGGTTCGGGTGGCCGTGCTCCGGGGTGGGGGAGGGTGGTAAGGTCTCAGCGGGCTCTTCTCAGCAGGGATGCCGGGTACCAGGAGGCAGTCTGGAGCTGGTGCAGCTCTGGAATGACATTCACTACCATGTGGTCATGAAGAGGCTGGGCGTGGCCACACTGACTCCTGTGCAAAAGTTCCGCTGCAGGAAGAGGTATGCACTGGGCTTTATTGTGCGTATTCCCTGGGCCTCCCGAAAGATGTGCCATCCAGAACCACAGAAGGGCTTATCACCAAGCAGGGTGATAAGGGCAGGGAAAGTCAGAAGAAGCACCTAGTCAGAAGGTAATAGGCTCCTTATCAGCCAGCGTGCCCGACGCTGAGCCCCACCCTCCACCTGGTCAGCTGGCCATGGGGCTGCTTTGCCGCAGAGGAGAGAGTGGTCCCAGAATGCAGGTAGAGCACTCTAGCTGCAGCAGGAGCCAGTGCCCTAGCAAGGGCCCGCAGGCAGGGAGTGTGACTTCACTACCCATCTGTCTTGTTGGAGCCTCAGGTCAGGTTCTGCAGGTGGTTCGGGTCCCAGCCGGGGCCCTCCGCTACACCTTTTAGAGAGTTACAGAGGAGAGTTCAAGTAGTGTTCAGGAGGTTGCCTGGCACACAATAGATACTAAGTAGACGTTTTGTATATATATACATATATATATAAAATAATCATCACCATGACCATTAGCTACACTAAGGAAACATTACTACTACTAGTTGTTATTGTTACTGGACGAGGAAACCAAGGCACAGAGAAGTTCGTGACTTGCCTCGGTCACACACGAGATAGGCAAAGCCAGGATTCCAGGACACACCCTGGGCCTGTAGAGCTTTTGTTCTCGCTCTTGGGTGTCTCCGCTGACCTGCAGGGCCCATGTCTCCCCTGCGCTCCTGACAGCCCAGGTGCCGGGACTCTGAGCCATGGGTTCTGGTTTGTGGCTTGGTTACTAGAAGAAGAGATGGACTCCTTTTGGGCCAGAGAGAATTTTATTAATGCCGCCTGCCAAATAGATTGAGATATGTCCTCAAACCCAATAGTTAATAAACCTGGGGGTCTTCAGGGATTCAGTTGTGTCCCTCCATACATGACCTTCAAGAGTGCAGTTCAGCACAGCAGATGGTCTGAGCCCAGCAGACAGTTTTTGTGACGAGTCCTCTACTTTCTGGGTGCCACTGGAGGTGCTGAGGGCAGAGACGGCTCATTTTCCCAGAGCTGACCTTGGACGATACTCATTAGTCAAGGAAACAAAGTACACCCCATAATTCAGCGAGCAATGCTGGACAGAGAAGTTGTTCATGAGGGGCTATGACGTATTATTCTTTGCTGGGGGGAGGGGCTGCGGTGGAGGCCGGTCCCCTCTGGAGGAGAGACCTGAGCAAGTGGAGGGCGGCCCCAGGGGCACGAGAGGGTGGCGTTGGATTTACAGCAGGTGATCAGCGAAGTAGCAGAAGTAGGAGGCTCTTGGAGTCTCTGATAGTGGCCAAAGAAAGGGCTGTGTCAAGATAGAATTTGGAGGATTTGCTGATGGCTTGGGTGCGTTGGAGGAAGAAAAGAAAGAACAAAGCTGGATTCCGGAACTCTTGGCTCAGTGACAGGCGTATGGTTGTCTCTCGCCGAGATGCAGGGGACAGGAGCTGGGGCAAGATTTGGGGAGCTGGGGATCCAGCTTCTCTTGGGATTTGGGATGAGTGGGATGCCTTTTTGACACCCGTGGGGACTTGTTCAATTGGTGTTTGGATATCAAGTCTTGTATAGACAGATGCTACTTGAGTCCGTTACTATTTCCTTTTGAAACAATTCAAATTTACATAAGAGTAAAGTATAACCAACCTCAGTACCCTCATCATCCAGTTTCAGCAGTTATTGGCCATCTGTCACTTTGTCATCTCCCTGAGTGGTAGGGGAAGCCCTGGCAAGACCTCGAGAACGCGGGGGGCAGGGCGGGCCATGGTCTTGCGGGGGGGCAGTGAGATGAGAGGCATTTCGGGGATGCCCACTGTTCCGACGCACCTGGGGCGTATCCAGAAGGGACATTTGTAACCACCTCCTCACTGTCCTCACCCAGGAACCCGCCGCCCCCCTCCCTGTGCCCAGACGGCCTGAAGAGCCGGAACTTCCCCAGAGACATTCGCCAGAAGTTGCAGGACTTCGCAGCGGGTGTGAGCAGCAACCCCAGCAAGGCTCAGCGGGTAAGAGCCCGTGAGGCCCAGGCCAGGCCATCCTCCTGTTCGCTGGTCTCCACCCTTCGATGGAATCTGCCCCGCCTCCCCAGTGGCATGTTTGCCAGGGTGCCGGTGGTCTTCTGCTCTACTTGCACCCTCTGGGGACAGGACCTCACTGTCTGGCAGCCCCTACAGTCGCGTGTGGCTTCACAGATGCTCAGTGAACACCCGCTGTGGCCAGGCACGGGTACCAGGGTGAGGAGTGTGGAGTCTCTGCCTTGGTGGAGCTTGGGGCGCTGGGGAGGCAGATGCGGGTGGAGCCCAAGGCCTGCAGAGGCAGGATGTGAGCCCCCAGGGAACTGGGCGGGGGTGGGGGTGGGGTTGAGGGGGTGGCCGGTGGTTTCCTGCTGCTCAGGAATCTGGTCATCCACCCTCCCCGCGACTCCTCTCTGTCCGATCGTCAAGGCTCTGTTTTGTTTGGTCAATCTGATTTCCTCCGTCCGATCGTCCAAGTTTTCTAAGTTTTTGCTCTGTCCACTTCTGGTGCTTGTCCAATCTAGGGGCTTCTCCTAGCTTGGCTCTGCCCACCTTGGTCCATGTTCAATTAGCAGGGTTTTACCCGTGAGCTCCCAGCTCCGGGTCCAGTGGCAGGGCTGTCCCGGGATCGCCCGCTCACTTCTGCCCCCCGCACCCCCAGTCCAGTCGCAGGCTCTCCCGGGATCGCCCACCTGGACGGCCGAGTTCTGTGCCAGGTGCACAGGAAGAAAAGGGCGCGGGTCAGAGGTCGGCTGCTCTCCAGCGGGCAGTGGCTGGTTCTGGACGCGGAGGCCCCGGCTCTGCCTGTCCTGGCCGAGTCCTCCCGGCTCTGGGTGGCCGTCGACGTGCCCGTGGCGTGAGGGAGGAAGGAGCCTGGGTCGCTCCGTAGGAGGCCTGTCCACGGCTCCGTGGGCGCCCGGCCTGCTCGTTGCCCCGGGCCTGCCGTGCGGTTTGTCCACCCGGGTAGCGCGGTCGCCCCTGTGCGCCGTGCGCGGATGGAAGCAGGGCTCGAGGCCGATGTTTCCGGCAGGAGATCCTGGCCGCCGAGACCAGCCTGACGGCAGAGCAGGTCTACAACTGGTTCGCCAATTACCGTCGGCGCCAGAGGGCCGGTCTCCGGCGCATGGAGCTGGCGGACTCTGCCGAGGGCCCGCCGCAGCCCTCAGGCCCCCACCACCCTGGCTTCGGCTGTGTGCGCCCGCCTCAGTGGTCAGGTGAGTGGCCCGAGGGTCCCGGTGGGGGAGGGGCTGACCCCAGACGGCCTGGTTGCTGCAGCTGTGTCCAGGGCCAGGCCTAGATAGGGTCGCTCCGGTTACAGGGACGCTCCGCCTCCGATCTGCATCTTCAGGACCAGACTCTTCAGGAGCCAGAAGGTTGAGGCTGAGGGTCAGGCGGGCTGCAGCTGTGGTTTAGCAGCCGCTGTGTGGCCAAAGGTAGAAGTCAGTGGATTTGGGAAGTGAGCCAAGCACCAGGATGCTGGGTGTCTAATTATGGATTGTCCTTCAGATCAAAGATGGATTGGGGACAGAGAATTTGGGATGACTCGGTGGTTACTGTTCACCTGCTGGGAAGGAGGCTGGAACTTAACTTCATCCAGCCTCTCCTCCCACCTGACGTTTCAACAGGAGGTGAGGACAGTGGGCCTGCAAGTTCCCTTGTGACCACCCAAGGGCTGTGGGAGCCTCTCGCCCTGGCCTCGGACTTTTCCGGAGAGGAGACAATCCCCAAATCACTGGCTCCCAGGTACTGTCCTCCCCACAGGCTGGGGACCTTCTCCCTGTTCAGCGCCCCTATCCTGGTTAGGAGACCATGCCAGGAGTGGGCGTGGGAATGTTGGGCCAGCCCTGGACCAGGTCCCTGATGGCTGAGAGCAGAGACAGCTGTGACCCCAGAGGTCAGGGAGCCACTGCAAGGAGCCCAGGCCCAGGACCCTGCACTTGTTCAAAGGAAACTCACAGCCTGACTTCATGTGTGTGAAGAAAGAAAAATACACAAACCCCTTTTCTAAAGGCAGACCCAGCTGTCCTGTTTGTTTGTTTTTGGTATTTTGTATGGTTTGTGTTTCATTGAGTTGGTAAGAGCCAACAATGCTTGAGTACCTACTGTGTGCCAGTGATAATACCTGGGCCCTGACTCCAGACCAGCACCATCTGGCTCTCTGCCTTAGGCAGGTTCCTGTGACTGGGGTGGGGTTGTTGGCAAAGACCCGGAAACAACATCTGAGAGTGTGAGCATTTGTGGAATGTCGATTCCTTACATTATCATCACCTGCTGTGTAGTGTTCCTTTAAGGTCAGTCATCATCTAGCCAACCCACTGTTAGGGTCTTCCTAGTCATTTCTAGCTTTCAGTGTTGTGGAAGAAGGCTTCATTGAAGGCCCTTGAACTGCTAATGTATCTTACTTAGGTTTCTAGTAATCCCTCTTTTTTCTTTTTAACTTATTTTTATTGTTGAATGTATTACAGATGTTCCTTCTTTTCCCCCTATTGACCCCCTCATCCTCTCTCCCGCCCCCCCTCCTGCCTTTCCCCACACTGTTTTCTGTGTCCATTAGTTATGCATGTAAGATCTTTGGTTTATTTCTTCCCACCCCCCACTCCTCTTCCCTTTGAGGTTTGTCAGTCTTAACAACCAATTTGTACTTATTTTTTAAAATTAATTAATTTTTGTTACAGATGTTTTTCCTTTTCCCCCACATGTCCCCAGCTTTGTTGTCCATGTCCATTGTTCATGCACACATGCATATAAGTTCTGTGGTTTATCTCTCCCCTACCACCCCCTCTTCTGGGGATTGTCAGTCTGTACCCCCCTTCCACGTCTTTGGGACTACCCCATTTCTCAGACTGTTACGTTCATTATATTCCACAAATAAGTGAGATCACATGAAACTTGTCTTTCTCTGTTTGGCTTATTTTGCTTAGGATAATACTTTCCAGCCCTGGCTGGTTTGGCTCAGCGGTTAGAGCATCAGTCTGCGGTCCAGAGAGACCCAGGTTTGGTTCCTGCTAAGGGCATGTACTTAGGTTGCAGTTTGTCCCCAGCCCTAGTTGGGTCGTGCGGGTGGCAGCCACTCGATGTGTCCCTTTCACATCGATGTTTCTCTCTCTCTCTTCCTCTATCTCCCTCCCACTCTATCTGAATAAAAAATGGAAAAACGTCCTCGGGTGAGGATAAAAAAAAATACTTTTCAGGTCCCTCCATATCATCTCAAAGGATAAGAGATCTTTCTTTCTTACAGCTGCATAGTACTCCATTGTGTATATGTACCACAGCTTTTTTATCCATTCGTCTACTGATGGACATTTGGGCTGTTTCCAGATCTTAGCGATTGTAAATAGTGCTGCTATGAACATGGGGGTACATATATTCTTTCTGATTGGTGTTTCAGGCTTCTTAGGGTATATTCCTAGAAGTGGTATCACTGGGTCAAATGGCAGTTCAATTTTTAATTTTTTGAGGTAACACCATATTGTTTTCCATAGTGGCTGCACCAGTCTGCATTCCCACCAGCAATGTACTAGAGTCCCCTTTTCTCCACACCTTCGCCAACTCTTGTTGTCTGATGATTTGTTGATGGCGGCCATTCTGACAGGTGTGAGGTGATACCTCATTGTTGTTTTCATTTGCATTTCTCTGATGATGAGTGATGTTGAGCATTTCTTCATCTGTCTCTTGGCCATTTGTATGTCCTGTTTGGAGAGGTATCTGTTTAGTTCCTCTGCCCATTTTTCAGTTGGGTTCTTTGTCTTCCTTTTGTTGAGCTGTATGAGCACTCTATATATACTGGAAATTAACCCTTTATCTGATATATCATTGGCAGTTATGCTCTCCCATACAGTGGGTTGTCTTTCCATTTTGATGATTGTATATTTTGCTGTGAAGAAGCTTTTGAGTTTGATGTAGTCCCATGTGTTCATTTTCTCCTTTGTTTCTGTTGCCTTAGGAGATGTATCAGTGAAAATTCTGCTGCTCTGTATGATGTCTGAAATTTTGTTGCCTACATTTTCTTCTAGGATTTTTATTGATTTATGAGTCACATTTAAGTCTTTTATCTGTTTTGAGTTTATTCTTGTATATGGTGTAAGTTGATGATTTAGTTTCATTTTTTTGCATGTAGCTGTCCAATTTTCCCAACACCATTTATTAAAGAGGCTGTCTTTACTCCACTGTATGCTCTTGCCACCTTTGTCAAATATTAATTGAGCATATTGCTTTGGATCTATTTCTGGGTTCTCTGTTCTGTTCCACTGGTCTATATGCCTGTTCTTGTGCCAGTACCAGGCTGTTTTGATTACAGTGGCTTTGTTGTATAACCTGAAATCTGGTAATGTGACCCCTCCTACTTTGTTCTTCTTTTTCAAGATTGCTGTGGCTATTCAAGGTCTCTTTTGGTTTCATATGAACTTTTGAAGTGTGTATTCTAGTTCTGTGAAGTATGTTGTTGGTATTTTGATGGGGATTGCATTGAATCTATAGATTGCTTTGGGCAGTATGGACATTTTAATGAGGTTAATTCTTCCAATCCATGAACAAGGTATGTGCTTCCACTTTTTTGTATCTTCCTGTATTTCTTTTTTCAATGACCTATAGTTTTCTGCGAATAGGTCCTTTATTTCTTTGGTTAAGTTTATTCCTAGGTATCTTAATTTTTTTGCCACGATGATAAATGGGATTGTTTTTTTTAGTTTCTCTTTCTGTTAGTTCATCATTGGTGTATAAGAATGCCGTCGCTTTCTTGATGTTAATTTTGTATCCTGCTACTATGCCAAATTCATTTATTAAGTCTAGTAGATTTTTGATGGAGTCTTTGGGGTTTTCTATGTATAGTATCATGTCATCTGCAAATAATGACAGTTTCATTCCTCCTTTCCAATTTGGATCCCTTTTATTTTTTCTTCCTGTCTGATTGCCGTGGCTAAGACTTCCAGTACTATGTTAAATAAGAGTGGCAAAAGTGGGCCTCCTTGTCTTGTTCCTGTTCTTAAGGGAAATGCTTTTAATTTTTGCCCATTGAGTATGATGTTGGCTGTAGGTCTTTCATATATGGCCTTTATTCTGTCGAGATATGTACTTTTTTATTTTTAATCCTCACCTGAGGACATTTTTTTGCATTTATCTTCAGATAGAGCGAGAAGAAGAAAGGGAGGGAGGGAGAGAGAAAGAGAAACATGGATGTGAGAGAGACACATTAACTGGTTGCCACCTACATGATCCCAACCGGGGCCATGGACAAACTGCAACCAAGGTACGTGCCCTTAGCGGGAACCGAACCCGGGACTCTCTGGTCCTTGGGCCGACGCTCTAGCCCAGGGCCAATTTGTACTTCTTAATCCCTTCACCTTTTACACCCATTCCCCTGGGGCTCCAGCATCCTCAACCTCCCTCAGCCTCAGTTCCTGCTGGTTTTACAGCCAGGAGTGATGGGGATTCTCTTCCTGGCACTGGAACCCTAAGCTGGGCAGGTGGTGTGGGACGGGGACCCCTCAGTCTTCAGGGAGGACCTTCCCAGCCGAGGTGCCGTCCTGATTTTATCTGCCACACATGGGTGTGGGCCCAGCCCGTCTGCCTCCGCTCCTCCTGCCAGTCCGGATGTGGCTTCTTTAATTCTGTAGTTGTAGGACTTCCATTCAGTCTGATTTCAGGAGGTTTTGAATGATGGTTGTTCTGTAGTTTAGTTGCAATTTTGATGTGGTTGTGGGAAGACGCAGTACCGCTTACCTACCTGCCATCCTGACCGGAAGTCCAGTGATCACGCTTTCTGAGTGTCTCTAGAATGTCTGCAGCCACAGGGTGGACATGAAGGGGCCGAGCTGGGGCGTGGTGGGTCAAGCAGTCAGTGGGCACCTTGGCCTGCCTCTCTCCACCAGGGGGCAGTGTTCGTGCTGCTTCCCAGGTCTGCGCAGGGTGGTGGGATGTATCCAGAGGGGCCTGGCCACGGTCCTGCCACTCTCCCTCCCATGTGCCCTGACCCTGGTCTTGTCGCACTGGCTGCCCACAGCAACATGCTGGACCCCTCTTCAGCTGCCCCCAAGTCATGGCTGACGTCCCTTACACTGGCGTCCTCCAGGGATGTTTCCTTTCGGACTGGACAGCTGGTTCACAGTCACGAGGTGGACTTCACGATGCCTCCTGCAGACACCTCCATGGCCGTGTCTGTCGCCACGCTCGCTGAGCCCAGCCCCACAGGTGAGTGCCCTCCACGTGGCCCGTGGGTCTCTGCGCCAGCTGTAACTACTGCACAGGTCTTGTCGGGTAGAGAGCTGTGGGAAGGGCTGGGACTTCCTGCTTAAATCCTGCATTAGATTAGACCCAGAACCCCTGTACCTAAAACATGCTCTCCCACAGACATCACAGGTTACATTTCTCATGTGTTTTATTTGTCAAAGTAAAACATGCGCACGAACTAAAATAAGACAGCAAGGAAAGAGCAGGAGCGAAACGAGGCAGATCCAGCCCTGCCCCCTCCACTCCAGGCCCCTGACTGCGGCCAGGAGCTGCCGCTGCAGAGGGTGAGCCTCTGAGACCCCCCCCCCCCGACCACTGTCGCCCCACTGTGGAGGCACCATCGTCCCTGTTCCTTTCTTGGTTATCACTGTCGTTGTCTAGCTCCGGAGCATGTGTGCTTCGACATGTGCATGTATTCTGTGCCCCGTACGACGGCCTCTGCTGACGTCCCACCTTGCAAGGGAGATATTGACACTGAACTGAGTCCATCACCCAAATTTCCGAGTCTTCTGCGGCTGTGTACATGTTCTCATGGAGTTTCTACTGGCCTTTCTTTCAGTCTTACGTTGCCTGCTGTTTGTTCACATCCTCGAAGTGTCCCCTCTGAAGTCTTGCTGCGGGAGCACTCTCTCTTCCTGTCCCCGACCCTGATGTCCCCCTGGGCCTGGGCTGCGGCCACCATCCCGAGAGCCCCTGCAGTCGCTTCCCTGGGTTTGCTCCAGGGTGTCCTGAGTGACAGGTCATTCTGTTTCCTGACATCTGTCTTATGCTGGAGCATGTTTTCATAGGATGAATGCAGAATAAATGTTCAGATAGAAGTTCTCCAGTTGCGTTTAATCTGCCCTCACATTAGACTAGTCAATGTTGTCAGGGGCAGAATTCCGAATTCGGAGTGGGCAACCGAAGGCCTGGTATCACTGCGGCAGGAAGTGTCGCTGATAAGTCACAGGTCACTCTGACGTGTGCTGCTTTGCAGGTCACCTGTGATTCCTTTATCATGACAGTTCTATGTTATGTAAAAAAAAATTTTTCCCCTTTATTGATTTTAGAGAGAGAGAGGAAGGGAGAGGGAGAGACAGAGAGCAACATTGATGAGAGAGAACATTGGCCGCCTCCTGCATGCCCCCCACTGGGGACTGGGCCCACAACCTGGATGTGTGTCCTGACCGGGAATTGAACCGGCGACCTCTTGGTGCAGGGTCGATGTTCAACCACTGAGCCACATCGGCTGGGCTTTATCGGAACAGTTTTAAAGATTACAGTTATAGAGATAACAGTGTCTAACAACATTATGTAATTTGCAGGAACACTTCATCATAGTTGGTATCTGTATACTAGTCGTGTGCTTGACCTGATGTTACATATATTCTGATCCCTTGATGCAGTTCTTCCTCCCCCACCTCCTCCCCCTGGTAACTACCCTTCTGTGGTCTGTATCTGTGAGTTTGGTTTTCTTTGTTAGTTCTTTTGTTACTGTTTTGTTCTCTCGTCCGTCCACCACAAATGGTGAAGCTGAGGAGGGCTTTTTGTTTGTTTGCGTGAAGTCTGGGTGTTAGGAAGTTGCACAGTGATGGTCCCAGGGCGGAGTCGTTTCAGTGCGTCTTGCTATTAAGCCTTTGAATGTAAAACAAGAGAACACGGTCCCCTTGACGCTCTGGGCATTTTCTGGTTATGTTTACTTGATAGTTTCTTCAATAATTGCGTCCTTCCGTGGTCTCAGTTTTCCCTTCTGAGCAGAGGTGTAATGTGGCTGTCGGAAGCCCGGGCCCAGGCTTTGAGAATGCTTCCCTTGTTTCTCTCGTGTTCTCTCCGTTACTGTGCGCACTTCTGAGGGTGTTTCGTAGGCTCTGTCTTCCAATACTTTGTTTTGACAGTTAAATATTTTAAGAGAAATCCAAGCTCTGTTGCTTTTATAGATGCAGTATTTTCTGTTTCTCCGATTGTCCTAATTAGAAGTCCTAGAAACTATGCTTTGTTATCTGGAGGCAGAATGTTGGGACCGTGGATTCGGGCTCTTCCTTGGGTGCAGAAGGCTGAGAACAGAGAGGAGGCCTGTAGACTGGTTCTTCTGGAGAAAGTGGTTGAGTTTGGTTATGTTGGCCTTTCATTTCTTGCTGTCCATTTGTTTTTAGCACTAGCGAGTCAAGTTTGCCTGTGGTATTTACTAAGCAGGTGGGGTGGGGACAGTCCCTGACCCACTTCCCACTGGATCAGGGGAGCTGGTCTCCATGCGGCGTCCAGCGCCTGTGAACTCGCTTCCCTTCTGACCCCCGAGCCCCAGGATGTCACCCTGCTCTTCTCGGTTCCCTCCCTCCCTTTACCCTCAGGGTACTTGGCCCCTGACCTACGCACCCGCTTCCTTTCAAATGAAGTGCCTCCGGGGCCGTTGCTGTGCCCCAAGCCCGCAGAGCTGGACATCACCCAGCTGCCACTGCCCCTCCACCACCCTCTCTTTGTTCTGGGATTGTGGCTTTTACTTCTCTTTCTCTCGGAGGACAAGATAAACCATAGAACCAACCATGTTCAAAGTGGCACTTAACGTATTTCATGTACCTCAGAGCCTCTTTCAGGGTCTGCAGGAAACAGCAGAGAGCGGAGGTGTGTCTCACACCAGATGGTCAGGAGTCTTCCTCTGGCCATAGCAGGTCTGTGCAGCCGGTGGGCAGGGCAGGTGGTCTCTCGGGAGGGCAGTGTAAGGCCAGGCTGCTGGCCTGTTGTGGGTCTGAGACCAGGGCCGTGTAGGCCGACCCAGAGCAGAGATGGACCTTCCTTCTCGGCTCCCTGTGATCCTCGATGTCTGTTGACCCAGAACTGATCAAGTGCACAGGGACTTGCCTTGAAGAGTGAAAGGTGAGGTGCGGTGTTGTGGGAAACAGTCTCAGCAGAGAGAAGGGCAGGCAAGGTCACGGCACCCTGCTCCTCAGTGCAATTCTGGTGAAAGCGTAGGTGAGAGGTGAGATGGCCGAAGTGTTGTATGGGAGGTGGGCAGATTCAGATGCCGCGTCCTCCCGGTGGGGACCGCGTGAGGTCTAGAGCGACAAGGTAGGTTGTGTCTTTGTATTGTCCTCTGGAAGCCTGAAGGGGCCACGGAGACGGGCAGTTGTGGCTGGTCCTGTTCAGGGAGGGGGGCTGCGACTGGCCAGGCTGGACACTCCTGTGCTACGGGTCATGAGCCGAGCCTCTTCCTCCCCGAATTGGGCTGTGGACTTGCCTTCTGTGCAGGATTTGCTGACCCCTCCAGCAGTGACCCCCGGAGCACATACCTCGAGGAGGGTCTGGGCACCAGCCTGAGCCAGGGAGAAGGACAGGCGGGCAGCTTCCTGGTGCCACAGCCCCCACTGCAGGCTCCGGAATTCATCCTCCCGCAGAGGTAAGCCTGCAGAGCCTGTGGCTCAGGGGAGACTTTCCACAGGCTCCGTGGGGAGCTGGGTGTGCAGACGCCTGCTGAGCGGAGCCCATGAAGTCCTTTGCTTGCAGGTTTCTGGAAACTACAACTGTCCCCTAGCCTGCATCTCCCAAAGACAAGAGGGTGGTTTTCCCCTCAGACGAAAGAACACCTGGACACATGAGAGGGGACAGGACACCTGTTCTGTGGACAGTGCTCAGGCCTCTTCCCTCAGTTGTCCTGGGCCCCAGCAGCCTCTTTCTGCCATTTTGTTTTCCCCAGATAAAGGCGATCAGAGTTCCTGAAAAGCATAAAGATCCTTGCTTTATATCCAGACTGTAGACTCTAAGGGTTTTGGGAGGACCGTGGGCAGCCTGGTGCTGTAGCCTGGTCGTGAGGCCGGGACAGTGGGCCAGGAGCCTACAGACAGGTGGACAGAGGGGTGTGTTGGGGGTGTCCTCTGCTGGAGAGGGAATGCTACAGGCTGACCTCCAGGACCAGGGTTTGGGTCTCCCTAATCTGCCACTGAAGGCCAGGTGCCCAGTGAGGGCGGAATTACAGGGGGACACAAGAGAGGGGCACTGACCCCAAGTCTCAGGCTCTGCTCCTTAGGACACAGCTCGAGGGTGGGAAAATCCCAACAATGCAGCTGGACTGTCCTTCCATCATGACCAAGAGTTGTGAGGGGCAGCCCTGGCCAGTTTGGCTCAGCGGTTAGAGCATCACCTCGCAGACCACAGAGTCGTGGGTTCGAACCTCAGCTGCAGTTCAGTTCCTGACTCCGGGGGTCGTGTGGGAGGCAACCAATCGATGTGTCTCTCTCACGTCAATGTCTCTCTCTTTCTCTCCTTCCCACTCTATCTCCGAAGAGAATTGAGAAAATGTCCTTGGGTGAGGATTGAAAAAAAGAGTCGTGAGGGGCAGATGCTGCCACAGGGGCTCCCCTGGCCTGAGCCTTGGGCTCCAGCAGCAGCCCCTCTGTGCCCTGATCTGACAGCTCGATTCCTCTTTGGAAACAGTGTCACGGGGGGTGGTTGGCAGTCAGTGAGCCGACGTGTAGACGAGGCAGAGGGCAGTGTCCACCACGTGCCGAGGCTGCGCTGCGCAGGGCGACCCCTGCCTCCGCAGGACCACAGCCCTGCTTTCTGCAGCTGCATTTCGTAGAGTTTCACATGCATGAAATCATACAACATGCATGTATCGTTGGTCTGGCTTATTCTGCTCGGCCCGAGTGCTGGCTCGGCTCGGCTGCTGCCCGTATCGGCAGTCCTGTTGCCGAGCCCCATCCTGCTGTGTTGGGTCGTGTGTGCTGACCCATCGCCTGGGAGCATTTTGGAGTCCCGGTTTGGGGCAACAGGGACCATGGCCGGACACGTGTCATTCGCACGCCTGCTCATTTTGTGCCTGTGCACACCTGGGAGTGGGGTGTCTGTGCTCTTAGGGGACAGCCAGGCAGTTGTCCCTGGTAGCTGCACCTGTCACTGTCCCTGCTGTCTCTGTTGCTCCTCCGGTTTGGTTCTAAGATCCTCGTGTCTCCTTCACACCGTGGGCCTGTCCCTTCTGCGTGACCTTCTCTTCACGGTTCTCTTGAGCTGCTCTGATGCACTGAACTACCCAAGCGGCATGCTTGACGCATCACAGGCCCCTCTAGTGCCCTGCATCCCTGAGGCCCCGAGGGAGGAGACTCTGAGCAGCGCACCTGGAAGGGCTCCTGACATGCAGAGATTCTCAGGGCGCATCCCTCCCCGGTGGGTGGTGTGAGCTGGTGCTTGAGGCACGGCCTGTCCTGACTCGTCCCTTTTGCAGCCTCCCAGAGCTGGCACCTGCCCCCTCCGCCTTTCCCAGCCCTGCGCCTGCCGTGCAGCTGAGCGAGCCCCTGCCGTCTTGCCAGGTGAGGTTTTCCTCGGAGGTGACGGCAGGTTCCGTCCGAACTCCTGGATTGGCTCACGCCTTTGGAGGGACTCAGCCGGCCGAAGATGAGCACGAGGGGTGGATGCCTAGAGTCTGGACATCGGTGCAACAGGAGCTGGGGGTGCTGTGGGGCAGGGATGTCCAGGGGGGCGGTGGGGAGCCAGGAACGGGGTGCCTGCGTGTGTAACGCTGTGTTGGCTTTCCAGGTGCCGTGGCCCGACAGCCAGGCCTCCAGCGACGCCTTCTGGGGGGCAAGGATGCTCCTTGAGCTTTCTGGGGGCAGCCTGGGCTGAGCTGCCCTTGGAGCCAGGCCCGCGTCCTGGGAAGCAGGCGAGACATTCGGCCGTTCACCACAAGTTACAGAGCTTCATCCAGAATGAAGAAGGAGGTTCCCAAAGTTCCTGTGGAGTTCTGCTAAGAAATGTTTTGGGCTCCTTGGCCCACGCCGTGTCGGGATAGTTTGGTTGGCAGCTCCCAGTGTTTGAGGAAGCATTTTAAACACGTTCAGAAGTCAGAGATTGTTCTGCTCAGGCAGCAGCTGACGGCAGGGTCCAGCTGCTGGGCCGGTTGTGGGTGTGGAAGGCCTTTCTAGGGACAGGAGGCTTCCACTGCAGCCACCCTCCTGTCCGTTCTGTGGCCAGACTCCCACCCGTTAACGTGGTGAGTGAGGTTGAGAGCGTCCTGACACTTGTGTGTCTGTGGGGCTTCTACCCAGAGGCTGTGGGGTGACTCATTAAGTTTGCAAAACAAATGTTGTATTCAATTAAATTAAAGTTTAGTGTTCTGACTGCCTCGTTTTTATTCACTTTGCTGTATCCCAAGCACCCGTCCCTGTCCCTCCCTGGCCGTCTGCCAGCGACCAGCATGTCACAATGTGAGTGATTAACCAGGCGTCACACAGACATTCCAGTGGTTTTTCACGTCTCCGTTTCATACGCATGGTCACCTAATTAACACGCTGCGGGAACAGGGAGCTGCCCGGCAGCGGAAGCAGCCGTGCACAAGCACAGGGTGCCATGGGCCAAGTGGGGTGCGTCTCCTGGCGCATGAGACCCCTATTGCACAGGTGAGTTGACACTCAGGAATAGGCCCGAGATTCTCATCCCGTTGTGTTGGTCGACGTGTGTGCTGAACAGCTTGTGTGATACAGCAGGGAGCAAAGTCAAGTTGGTGTTCACGGTGCTCATGGGATAGTGGGGGAGACAGGAACCGCGGGGAGTTGTGGGGAGTTGCCAACAGGATGGTGTGAATGGGGGGCAGCTGAGAGCCTGGACATGTGGAAGCCAGTGCTTGAGAGAGAAGACCCTGGTCTTTTGTCCTGAGGCGGGTCTCTTGTAAACAACATATATGTGAGTCGTGAGTCATGCTTTCTTATCCAATCAGCTACTCTGTGTGTTGATCAGAGCGTTCAAGCCATTTACATTTAAGGCTATTATTGATATGTACTTATTTATTGCCACTTTTGTTTAGTGTGGTTATATTTTTCTTCCTATTTCTTCTACTAATTATAGCAGTCCTTTTAACATTTCTTGCAGTGCTGGTTTGGTGCTAAAATATATTGTCCCTTAGCCTTTTTTAAAATTTTCTAATTTTTTGTTCAGATAGAGCAGGAGGGAGAGAGAGGAAGAGAGAGAGAGAAACATCGACATGAAAGGGACACATGGAGTGGCTGCCACCCGCTCGACCCAACAAGGGCCGGCGACAAACTGCAACCGAGGTACGTGTCCTTAGCGGGAACCGAACCCAGGTCTCTCTGGACCGCATGCAGGCCGACGCTCCAACTGCGGAGCCAAACTGGCCAGGGCTCCCTTAGCCTTTTTTTGTCTGGGATCCTTTTGTTTTTTTATCCCCACCTGATGATACTTTTGCACTTATCTTTAGATAGAGTGGGAGGGAGAGAGGGATGAAGAGAGACAGAGAAACATCAATCAACTGATTGCCACCCACACGACCCCGGGGACAAACTGCAACCAAGGTACCTGCCCTTAGTGGGAACTGAACCTGGGGTCTCTCCATTCCGTGGTCTGACGCTCCGGCCACTGAGCCAAACCAGCCAGGGTTTCCGGGAAGCTTTTTATTTTACTTTCTATTTTGAATCTTAGCCTTGCTGGATAGAGTAGTCTTGGATTCAGATTCTTGTTTTTCATGACCTTCATTACTTTATGCCATTCCCTTCTGGCCTGTATTGTTTCTGTTTAGAAGTCAGCTGATAGCCTTATGGGGGGGTTCCCTTTGTAGGTAGAAGTCAGCTGATAGCCTTATGGGGGGGTTCCCTTTGTAGGTAACCTGTTGTTTATCTCTTGCTGCATTTAGGATTCTCTCTTTGTCTTTAATTTTTGGCATTTTAATTATTATGTGTCTTGGTGTATGCCTATTTGGGTTTTTCTTGCTTGGGGCTCTCTGTGCTTCTTGAACTTGAATGCCTTCTTCCTTCAACAAGTTAGGGAAGTTTTATCTGTGACTATTTCTTCAAATATATTCTCTAACCCTTGCTCATTTTCTTCTTCTGGAACTCCTATGATGCGAATGTTGTTACATTTCCACTTGTTCCACAATTGGTTCTCTTAAGGTGCCTTCCTGTTTTTAAATTGTTTTTTTCTTTTTGCTTTTCTGATTGGGTGATTCTTTTCTACCCTGTCTTTTTTTTTTTTTTTTTTATCCTCACCCGAGGACATTTTTCCATTTTTTGTTCAGATAGAGTGGGAGGGAAAGAGAGGAAGAGAGAGAGAGAGAGAGGGAGAGAGAAACATCGACGTGAAAGGGACACATCGAGTGGCTGCCACCTGCACGACCAACCAGGGCCAGGGACAAACTGCAACCGAGGTACATGCCCTTAGCGGGAATCAAACCCGGGTCTCTCCGGACCGCAGGCCGATGCTCTAACCGCTGAGCCAAACTGGCCAGGGCTCTACCCTGTCTTCTAACTCACCGATCTGGTCCTCAGCTTCCTCTACTCTGCTGATTATTCCTTCCAATGTGTTCTTTATTTTGGCTATGTCATTCTTCATTTCCAGTTGGTTGGTTTCTATATCTTTACTCATGGTACTGAGCTCTGTATGCATGCTGTTGAGCTTCTTCATTATCACTAGTCTGAACTCTACCTCTGATAACTAGCTTAACCTCATGTTATTTACCTCATCTTCAGTAGAGTTGTCTTGTTCTTTCATTTGGGATGTTTCTTTTACACCATTTTGGCTGTCTCAGTGTGTTTTGGAGCCTGTCAAAATTTCCCTGTGGGTGTTGGTGTTCTGCTGGTTGTGGCTCCCTCTACTGCTTTGGATGAGTGTGGGAGAACCCATGTTAAACACCATTGTCAAGTCTTACTTTCCTGGGTAGATTTAATAGTCCAAGAAAGGTCCAGTTATCCTCTCACTTTTTGCCTGGAGGCTATTGGTCTCAGTTACTTGATAAGCCTTGGGTTGTGGCCCTCAGCTGAATGAAAAAATCCCTCAGGTTTTTAGAGTAAGAGGATTTCCAGAGTGTGGGGCAGATGCTGGCTGTTAATGAGCCTGAATTTGTGTTTTCCTGGCCCAGCGGGGTGGAGTAAAATTTCTGAGGAAGGGGCTGTTGCTTCTCCCTGGGGCTCCGGGAAGGAGCTTTGCAAGGACGATGGCGACTGTCCTGCGCGGTAGTGATTCAGCACGGAACTCCCGGTGCCCTCCCGGCTCTCCAAGCTCCTGAGTGTCCACACAGTTCCAGTGCAGTTCGCCCTCGCTTTGCTGGAGCCCAAGGTGAGTGGCTGTAGCAAATGTAGTGTCACTGTGACTCTTATTTCTCCTTGAGCCAAAGCCGCTCTCCTAGGCTTTCTTCTGCTGCTAAGCCCATGTTTGTCTCACTGTCCTCAGCTTAAAAAATTTCTTTGTTCTTTATTGGTTTTAGAGAGAGAGGGTGGGAAAGGGAGAGAGACAGAAGCATTGATGAGAGAGAACATCGATTGGTTACCTCCTGCATGCCCCCCACTGGGGATTGGGCCCCCAACCTGGGCATGTGCCCTGACCAGTAATTGCACTGGCCACCTCTTGGTGCAGGGGTCAGTGCTCAACCACTGAGCCACACCAGCCGGGCTGACTGTCCCCATCTTTGATGAACTTAATCTCAAAATAAGAAAAGATCATTTTTACTGTATAAAACCAAGTATAGAGCCTGGATGTGTGTCTTGGCTTTTTGGAGCATCATCCAGTACACAAAAAAGGTTGCGGCTTCCATCCCGGGTCGGGGAACATACAGGGAGGCAACCAATGGGCATTTCCTGGGCATATAGATGTTTCTGTCTCCCCTCTTCCTCTTTTAAATTGGTGAACATTAAAAAGAAAAAAACACACCTGTAGATAGTTTAAGCTTTGGAGAAACATTGAAAAGTAATGTGAAGAAGTAGAAAATTTCTTTTTGTAGTTTTATTAGTGATTAAATGAAATAGCAGTTTTAGCATTTATAATGAGTTCAGGGAATGGACACATGGTGTTCTAGAAATCAGGTGTTATGTCAATGAAATTATGTCTCCTGTAGAAAGTCTGAGAAATTCACAAAATGGCAAATGTTAGTTTCAAAGAGGGAAACTTTAGATGGTGAATTCTGGCAACTGAAAGACCAAGATGATTGATTTGTACTTACGTTATAGAACAGTTTCCAAAGAGTGATTTATGAGCCATGAACAGAAGAGGAATATTATTCAGATGCCTGCAGTGGTTCATCATGTGTTTCAGTGTCCTAGGGTGTCAGATAGTCTTTGCAGGGGCCCCTGAGTTTCCTCTCTGACCACGCGGCTTTTGAGCCTGCAGCCTGTGGTGTTGACAGCTGAGCCTTGTCAGGAGGCCAGCCAGAGACAGTCTCACTGCTTCAGGTGGCATCATCTCGCTGAGGGGGCTCGGTTTCCGTCAGCAGACACCCAGGCGGCATCTCCAGGGGATCGGGAGGGGTCTCCAGAGACCATGAGAAAAAGATGAGGCAGACAGAGGGGCAGGAGAGGATGGCTTGGTGTGGAAAATTGTGTTTTTGTTTTTAAGTTGTGTGATGTAATATGGTGAGAGTTTTGGTGAGAATTAGTGTTATTGAATGTAGGTTTGCTGTGGTTTATATTTTAGACTAGGAACTGAAGACATTTGGGACGATTAGCAAACATGTCCTGTGTAATACTAATAAATATTTGTACTATGAGAAAGTATATTTCTAGAAAGGAATTGGTTAATAAATTTACCAAGCTAAAGAATCTGGATGTCACCATGGCCAGTTTGGCTCAGCGGTTGGAGCCTTGGCCTAGGGACCAAAGGGTCGCAGGTTTGATTCCAGTCAAGGG